GGGGAGCCCCATTGCAGGGGCTGGGGGGAGCCCCGTGGGAGACAGGACCTGCCTGTGGGGAGCCCCATGGAGGGGGAGATCCATGTAGAGGGCAGGACCTCGCTATGGGGAATCCGGCTTGGAGGGAGCCCCATGGCGGGAGCATCGTGGTGGGGGTCAGGACCTCACTATGAGTAGCTCAATGTGAGGGGTGCCCCATTGCAGGGGCTGGGGGGAGCCCCATGGGGGGCAGGACCTCGCTATGGGGGTCCCTTGGCAGGGAGAACCCCATGGGGCAGGCTTGACCTCGCCATAGGGAGCCCTCCTCCCCATGGGGGATAAGGCCTGTTGCGTGGGGGGCTCTTGATCCACGGGGGGCCAGCAAGCCCTATGGGGAGCCCCCCGCCACGCCAGCCCCACGCACAGGGTGTCGGGGGGTCCCGGCCGCCGCCGGTGCCCGCGGCAGCTCCCCCATCGCAGCCCAGCTCCGCACCAGCCGTGCAAACCCTGCCCCACAACCACCACGCGGGCGTTAGTGCCAGTTCATTTGGGTCGTGCGCTCATTTGAGGAGTCTTTCCCAAACTTGATGATTCCGTGATCCCGAAGCGGAGCCGTGTGAGGTTCCCATGAACAGGGGGGCTTTGTCAGCCCCAATCCAGGCAGGATCAGGCTGTTAACCCTTAGGTCCACAGAGGAATTTTGCTGTATGCTCAAACGCGCAGTTTTTGTGCCATTTTACGCCTTGGGAGTGACACAGTCCCAGGGAACAGCGCCGTTTTTATTAAATAAAACATCCTCGTCCAAGAGCAATCGGAGCTCCGCGAGAGGTTTCCACACCACCCACATCCTCTGGGCCAAATCCCCAAGACCTGATTCATTCCTTAGTCACAGAGCCCTCCCCGGCAAGGCGCGAGTGGGGGAGCCTGGGGATGATGCAAGGACCAGTTAGTCAGGGATTCATGCAAAGAACATGCAAAGAAGGTGCCTAGGTCGGGGCACCGCCGTGCATCTGATGTGCACTTTGTGCGGCCCGGATCGTGTCCGGGATCGCTGGATTCCCAGAGGGATCCAGGGATAGTTTGTAATAATCCCGGAGGATAATTTTTGCATCCCTTGGGATGGCCGCGCTAGCGCTTGCGGAGGCGCTGGCGGCTCCGCTTGCAGAGGAGCTGGTGTCCTCGTATCCCGCGGTCTGCTCCGTGGGCACACGTCCTATCAGGCCACGGAGCCTGTTGCGGGACGGAGTCTTCCCATACCCTGCATCCATAGGGAAACAGCCTCTCCGCCTGCGATAAGGGTGGAAAAAAGGCCCCGGGTCTCCAAGGAGCACGAGGGACCTGGAGACAGAGCAAAACCGAGAGGGTCCGTCCAGCATCAAATGCACCAGGAGGCCGCATCTGTGACCATCTCGTTGATCGGCACCCCCAGCTTGGAGCCACGGAGGCCTTGACCTGAAACACCCCCACCCAGGTGCAGATGCAGAAGAGGGGAGAGATGGTATCTCCTAAATTACCGCCCGCAGCAAACTCGCTATTTTTGGCGGCGTTTGCGAGGTGAGCCCGAAAGAGCAGCTCGTGTTTGCCTGCAGCCCCGAACGCAGGAACTCGCGACGTGTTTTACCTGCCTGTTCGTCTAACGCAGCCCCCGTGGGGCTGTGTCAGGCCTGAGGTGCCTCTTGCATGAAAGCCAAAGGAAAAGGCCAGTCTGGTTTCCTATATTGCTACTGCAGCCTGGAAGAGCACGCGTTTCACGAGAGCAAGACCCGATGTCCCAAAGCTGCCAGGGCAAAATATGCAATTCCAGATCCAAACTATGATTTATTCGAGTCCTGTTGGTTTCTTTGCTGCTTATGGTTGTCTCCAGTTTTATGCATATCACTTACTCCTACATTGGTAGGAAGGAATTGCTGAGCCTGATGAAATCCTTTGGTGAACTTCCAGGAGCCTTCCTGGAAGGAATGCTTTATTATGGAGGGATGCGCCGTCTCCCGGCTGTCACGTCCTCTCATACCAGAGGACCTACCAGTTACCAAAATCTCCTTTCAGAAGCTTAGACCGCTTTCCAGATGAAATTACTGTTTATTCTAGCAGCAGGAACATGGCCTGATGGGGAAGAAGGATTTTAAAACACATATGTCTGGGTCACCTTGGCATCGCCACTGCCTTTAGGCCACGGTCAAGGCAACCACAACTTCTTCAGCCCTTAAGGTGGCTGAAAAAGGGCTTGAGAAATAGGAAACCTAAAAGGAAACCAGTGCAAAGGTGCAATTAAAAAAATACCCTTAATTTTGCCAGGCTCATTGCAGCTCTTGGGGCTGCCTTGTTGGCTTGGAGAGCTGCATTTTGGCAACCTTGACCACCAGGTAGACCTGCACGTGCTGCCTGGGCTCATCTTCTGTGCGAGATGTGGGCTGCTCAGGCTGAGCCGTCGTGCAGGAAAAGAAGGTGATTTATACCCCAAATACCGCGGCGTGGTGGAGGGCTCCTCAAAAGCCAGGACTTGCTGTGGTTGGGAAGGACTCGGCCGTGGTGAGGAGAAAGGCAGCAAGGAGCCACCAGCTGAAAAGGAGGAAATCTCCAGCCTTAAACACCTCCAGAAACAAATTCCCGATGTAAATCTTGCTTTTTGAGGGAAGGAATGGGAAAAAAAAAACAGGGAGAGGAGCGATTGTAGGGCTGCATCGTGCCGCCGAGACGCGCGCACCTTCGCGCCCGCGCTCTGGAATTAGTTGTGACAGCTGAAATTCCCCTCCCGTCGGATGGCGCTTGACAGGGCGCTCAAAAAAAGGGGAAAAAATGAAAGGGAAAAAAAAAAAAGAAAAAAAAAGAGGAAGAAAAGGGAAAGTGGTTTGGTGTCGTACGGGGAGGCGGAGGGGGGCGGCGGGGTGGGGGGTCTCAAGTGATCCAAGGCGCATAATTCCGGCTTCTTGGATTGCGAAAGCTCCTCTTACCTAAAGGGCCTGCTGCCTTTATTTTTATCCAAATGGCTCAATTACTGCAAAGCCCCACAGAGAAAATTATGGATGTTTGCCTCTATTTTTCTCGCCTTGTCTCGACAACGGTAGATATTTTGTTTTCCTCCTTTCTGTCGTCTTCTTTTTTCTTTTTTTTTTCCCCTCCCTTGCGGTGGCGGTAGGTGGGGTGGGGAGGCTGGAAGGTGGCCGTGGAGCGGGATGGACGGGGAGCTGCAGGATGCCCTGGGGCAGCGGGCGAGGAGCTGGCACCGGAGCCCTGTCCCCGTCCCACGCCACGCGTCACCCCGCGCCTTCCCGCTCGCTTCCCCCTCTTCTTCCCGTCCTTCCCTCACCCCTTTCCCCTTCCTTTTTCCCCTCCTTCTCCCTTCCTCGCGCCCTCTCTCCCCTCCGCCGCCCCCTCCCCGCGCCTCTCAAAGGCCCCGTAATAGCAGCTTGTTTGGCACTTCACTCGCTCTCAATGAGAAAATTCCCCCCTCTCCCTCTTTTTGCCTTCGTTATTTCCAAACCCTGCAATAGCTCCTTTGCTCGGGGCTGCGGGAAGTGCCCATTTCTCGGCATTTTCCTTTGGCTTATGTTTGTCATCCTCGGAATTACCGCACCGGGAGGTCCAGGCAGCCCGACACCGGGCCCTGCTATTCCCGCCTCTCCTGCTCCTTGAGATCATGTAGGGAGAAATTAGTTATTTATTCCGAGCACCGCTGCAGCGCACTTACCCGCGGGAGTGTTTGGATCGCCCGCTGGCACGGGAGGCTCCGTGGGGAGCACGGCGGGGAGCGGGAAGCCTGGAGTGTCCCCAGGGATGCGCGGCATGGGACCGCGCCACGTATGGGTTGAGGCTCTATGGGGTTAGAGCGAGAGGTCCTGGATGTGCCAGGATGCGTCCCAAGCATCCTGCACATCCCTCCGTGCAGGGCAGCAGGGTTTCATACGATCATGGAATGCTTAAGGTTGGAAGGGACCTCAGAGGTCATCCAGTGCAACCCCCTGCACACGCAGGGTCACCTAGAGCATGGGGCACAGGGCTGCATCCAAGCAGGTTTTAAAGATCTCGCCACATTTTCTAGGTCTTGTTGGGCCTTGGTTTTATTCCTAGGCGGGAATAAAACCTCGTGGGCCTTGGTTTTATTCCTAGGTCAGATGAGACAGCAACATGAGGGACCCAAAGACCCTGAGCAGTCACCGTGCCCCAAAGCTGCTCATCACTGGCCAAGGAGCCCAAAGCTGCTCCTCACCGGCCACGGAGCCCAACCTGGGCTCAACCTGCAAGAGCCCAAGGACTGGGCAGGTTCAGTCACCGCAGAGCAGAGCAGCCCGAGCGCGCTGGTCTTGCTGAGGCTGAGCGCGAGCCTGCTTGCTCCTGGGCAGCCCGTAGAGCATCTATGGACCAGCACCACTCCACGTAACCAGCAGCGCACGAGGACGGAGCGGTGCCACCGCCGGGCAGCTCCAAACCAGCAGCCCTCCTCCTTGCAGGAGGCATCGCGGCTTCGAAGCGAGCACCCGAGCAGCGGGAGGAAGAAAACCCCCAAACTGGCCCCGTAGGCAGAGCTGCTGTTGAAGCGCGGCTGAGACGCGAGCCCGAGGAATTACCGGAGAAATGATAGTGCCCTGACAGCTGCCATTTCCCACCGCCAGTCCCTCCTAATGGAGTCCTAATGTAGTGGGCTCGGAGACAGGGCTCGTCTTTGTGCTCGTGACAGATGGGACAGTCCGGCGACAAACCTGTAATCCTCTGCTTGCTGCCGGCTCTGCTTAACCCCTTCTTGTCCCCAGGTGCAGGGAAAGGCTGCTCGGGGGCAGAGCTACCTGCGGCGGCTGTTGCGGCGGCTGTTCACCTACCCCAGTGCCTACAGCCGCAGGGGACAGCACACAGACAACCAGGGCTTGCATGGACTCCTATGAGCACCATTCCCTGAGAACACCTGTATTTTTAGCTGTGTTTTTTTGGGGATGTTCCTCTGTTAGGTCCAGGTTTAGGCCCCACTGAACCTGGAACGGTCCCATTTCCAGCATGGACCCTAACCCAGGCCACCAACCATCTCTCACGTCAACCTCACCTGCCTCTCCAACAGCCTCCTGCATCTCCATTGCCGCTGGCTGCCCCCTGATTCCCAGGTGTGGAGACCCACCAGCCACTTTCCAGTGGATAAGGGAACTTTCTTGTGCATCCGTGGGGAATCCAGCCACACATGGTCCCTCCCTGGCCTCCAGAACCCGGAGCCACCACCATGACAAAATACTCCGAGCAAAAAGCCACCATGCCCGGAGTGCTCCCAGCGCTTTCCTGCCCTCCCTGCTTGGTGTCAGCATCCCCAGCAGCTGGTGGGACTGGTTTACGGGCAAGGACAGCGTTAGCAGCAGCTTGATTATGGCAAGAAGACCCCAACAGCTCTACCTGCTCCATGTGCTCGTGTGCCTGGATGTGTCCTGCCTTCCCACAACCAGAGAATCCTCATGGTTGGAAGAGACCTTCAAGATCATTGAGCTCAAACGCAAGCAGTGGCCTGAGCCCTGCTGGGGACACGGGCACCTGGGATGGGCAAGGATCTATCCCACATCCCTGCGCATCCAGGGGCAGCAACGGAGGGACTGATCCTGGCGGGTGCTGGGCACCCTCTGCTCTCCTGGGAGCCCAGGGCGCTGACCCCCTCGGACCCTCCCCAGCCCGAAAGCGAACGGGGAGGACGCCGGTACTCGGCACAATTAGCCAACAAGTGGCTGTTTTGTGAGGGATTGTTGCTGATGTGTTTTAAGTGGTTTTCTGAGTGGAAAATGTTTGGCATTGGAGAGGCTGGCAGACAAAGCGGGGGATGCATTAGGTTTTATTGGTCTGTTTTGCACACATCTGACATCACTCTGTTAAGTGAGTCCTGCCCGGCTTTGGGGAAAAGGAAAAATAAAACGAGACAAGGGGCCGAGGGTGCGGGGCAGGGAGCGAGCGCGATTCAACCTGGCAAGTGGGGGCTTAATAGCTGGGGACACTGGAGCAAACCATGTCAACCAGATGGGACCCGGGTGGCGCGGGAGGAGAGGGGAATTAGCCAACCCGCGCTTTGTTGGAGCAGAAAGCGCGGCCCTCGCCCCGCAGGAGCTGCCTACGTGTGATATAATACAGCCCCTTTCAGCCGCTAAGCTGGCCAAGGACAAAAGTCACCGAGGAAGAGCGAGAGGGAGAAGCTAAAAGCAAAAGGCAGAGTGGCCGAGAGCCCCGGGCTTTTCTCCTCGGGATGCCCGGGCTGCCTCGCATCTGCCCCCGGCTCCCGGGGCTGCGTCCTGGTGAGACGATGCCAGTGCCGCCGCAGCCCGCGGGGTGCCCGGGAGCTGCCGGGATGCTCCCCATTGAGAAACCTCCCCTGGCACATCCGTTATAGCGATGCTGTCCCCCGTTGGACCCGTAAAGGGACCCGCGGGGTCCTCTCGCCCTGGGCTTGCCCAGCTGTGAGCCACATGTGTCACTGGCTGGCCCAAAGCGAGGGAGGTGGCACCATCAGCATCTCCACCAGGAATTGGGGACCTGCGGGAGCCGTGTCCTATCCCAGCCTTCCCGAGGAGCCTGGGGACACATCCCACCTCCAGGCCATCACTCGTTGCCTTTGCACATGTTAAAATCCCCGATCCAGTCCAGCCAGAGGGCAAGCGAGCTCCTCCCCTGCGCAGCACCCAGGGCGGATAATTCCCCGCAGCCATTTAACGATGGTTAACGGGATGGCCCATGGCTGGGCGAGCGGTGGAGGGTTTGAGATCACAGGTTGATGTGCATTTGAGGTCAGCCTCCTTTCCTCTGCCTCGATCCCTCTAATCCCGGTGGGGACATCGGGGCAAGAGCCCTGCTGTCTTGGGCATTCCTGGCTGGTAGCCGAACCGCGCCAGGCTGCTTGCCGGGAAGGTTGAGCCTTAGCTCCCGGCTCTTACCCTGTTTTATCAGCCCGCTGCTCGGGTGCATGAAGTCAACGCGTGGCTGTCGTGGCAGGGCAGCTCCCCACGTGCCAGGGCTGATGTCACTCCGGCTCCTGCCTTCGTGTCCCCAAGGCTCTGGGCGGCCCGTTCCCGTGCAGGAGCGCGCGGGGGGAACGCACTAAACCAGCCGCGGGGTTTTGCAAACAAGCGGGGCCTCCCCACCTGGGGTTTCTTCCTCGCTTTTATGGACATATCGATCCGGCTAAACCAGGGAGATGCATTAGGTGGCCCGGGGGGTCGGAGATCAGCGGCTCAGCTGGCCGCCCGCCCGCGGCCACGTGCCCGTAGGGCCCATCCTGGCCGGGGTCCGGGCTGGGCAAGGGCTCGGACCAGACCTGATGTGACTCCGTGGGGCTGGGGCCAAAGTGCTTTAGCCACAGGGAGGTAAAACAAATCAATGAGGGGCTGCAGTGACACGCTGACCCTGGGACGCGGGTTTAAGGCACGGCGGTAAACCCGGAGCGGGAGGAAGAGTGCGGAGGCAGATGGCTGGGGGCGAGAGGGGACGACAAGGGCACTTGCAGCAAAGAGCGAGGGGTCCCAAAGCGAGAGGAGGCTCCCGGGGATCGGAGAGGTGGCCGGAGAGGGCAGCTCCCTAGCCAAACGTGGAGACGCACAGGGAGATGCTTCCAGGCTTGTGCCGCTACCTCAAGGTCCCTCGTGGTGAGCGTCACTCACGTGCCATCCCGTTCTGCTCCAGAGCTGGCACCACTCTGGCTGGCTCAGGTTTGGAACCGTGCACATTCAATGCCCAACACGCAGGTTGGCCACCATGGGGCTGCCACCTCCCTGGGCTCCCAGTAAGAACCAAAGCCACCTGCGATGTCCCTGTCCGGTGGCCGCAGCCCTCCCCAAGCGCCGCAGCGACCAGATGGGCTCCAAGCCGGGCTGGACGGAGCGGCCGTCCATGCGGATATTCCCCCCGCCGGGGCCGGCCGGGCTTCACCGCTCCGTCCCCGCAGGGCAGCCTTTTGTCCCGAGCGAGCAGAAGGGCCCTTGTGTCCCTCTGCTGCGCGCGGGAGCATAAAGCTGGCTTTGAGGGACCGCGCCGCCGTCGGGGCGCTCCCGGGCAAGGAGCAGGAGCGGCTCCTGCTCCCGGCGGACACAAAGCCACCTTGTTAAGGGCTCCACAAAGGCTTGCCTGGGAAGCTCGCGCCCGACGACTCCCAACCACACCGGGGCAATGCCCGTCTCTGGGAAGCGCATCTACACTCAATAACCGCGTGTCGCTGCCGCCCCATGACCCGGGAGCAGCACCCAGGGGCGCCTTTCCCACTCCCATTAACCACGGGGAGCTGCGTTTCCAAAGGTTAACGGGACCAAAGGCTTTTTGGCGGGGACTTGCTTGATTCCCGGCCAATCCGCCGCCGCTGGAGGCGGCTCTGCCGTGGGAATCGCCAGCCCTGTGGCTGCGCCGTGTCATCCCTGCGGCCCATCCTTCTGCCACGGGTCCCCACCTGGTCTGACCGCAGGCCCTGAGCCCCGGGGACTGCCGCTCTCAACTCCAAATTACATATTTGGTAGCACAATAAGACGATTTCCTTCCTCTTTAGGAAAAGAGGGTTGAGGTCCCCTCCCAGAGCCCTCACATGGGCAAGCCAAGTGCCAGGGAGGACAAGTGACGGGGACGGAGTCCCTTCGGACACAGCCCAGGTGCCCTGGAGGACCTGACCTCCCCACCACCCTCCTGCTCTCCCCTTTGCTTCCCATTTCCACCCAGTGAAATGAAGTGGTACTTTTAGTCCCTGGGATTTTTTTCCTGTAACGCCCATCCAATATTGGCTGCATTGTGTGAGTTGCAGTCCCTACACCAAGCAAAGCCAAGCGCACCTCTAGCATGACCCCGATGAGACTTGGTCACACGCAGAGCACCATGGAGGTGCCCCAGGAGTGTCACAGAGGATGCCCGGCCCCACAGGTGGTCCCAGCTCAGCCCCTTGGTCCCCCCAATCCTGAGCCTCTCATTATGGGTCCTGCACCCTCTGCCGTGGTGCCAGCCACATTCACACTCTATGTACCCCACAACCAACCTCCAAGACACGCTGTCCAAACCCATATATTGCTCAGAACTGTTCACAATAGCACCTGCTGTAAAATCCATGTGCATGTGATACCTTAAACCCAGTAATTCCCTGTACCTGTAAGAGAAACGGGAACACTTGACGCGATTCCGCCACAGTGATGCCGCAGGCTCCAGCAGGCAACGGTAGCCAAACAGGTTGGAAGGAGCAGGCTCACGTGGTCACATACAAAGATGAACTGAGTGGGTAAGGCTGGTTGGGCAGGGGAAGGGGAGATTTGCCCCTCGCTTTGCTGGCTTGCAGCCTCTCCCCGCTTCCCTCTCCGGTGGTACGTTTAGGAATCACCTCCATTCCCAGCCCAGCGAAGACCTGGAGAAGATCTCACCTTGCCTGCTTGGAGGCCAGGGGCAGCAGGGATGGGTGGTGGGAGCTCAGCTGGAGCCCAGGAGGACAAACCTGAGCTTCTGCAGCCACTCTTGGTGCGTGTGCACGGCAGGGATGCGAGCTGGGCTCTGCCACGCACATCCTCCACACGGAACATATGGAAAGTGCTCTGCAGGCCACGAGGCTGTCACGAAGGCAGCTTTCCCTCATCCCTGTTTTGCCTGTGTTTTGGCAGTGCCCAGGAAGGGCTTTGCAGGCCAAAAGCCCCAGCTCGCAGAAAGCTGCTGCAAAAAGAAGAGCCTTCATCCAGGCCCAGCTGGGGGAGATTGGCACTAAATAAGAGGGCTGCGGCTTTAAAGCAACCTGGCTGCTCCTTGGCTTGCTGCGGGGCTGGTGGCAACGCGGGGAGAGCCAGAGGACACCTGCGGAGATCCTGTACAGCTGGGGAAGATTAGCCTTTTCCACTAGACAAGACCCATTACCATGTTCCAATATACTATCACTTCCGCTAGGAGAGCCTGCAGATGAGATATCGATTGCCGTGACCCTGGACGAGCCCTTCCCTGCGAGGCCTGTGGATCAGCCCCGCAGCGTGGCCCGTGGCCGGGTCGCTCTCGGCCACTTGGTGCCCCCAGCTCTGCCAGCCCATGGCTCAGGCTATGGGGTAAAGATGCTGTGAGGGGTAGGCAGGTGTCCCAGCTTTGAAGATAGCTGGATATCCAGGTATCCAAGCTTTGAGGCTCAGCAGTGATCAAGGGTGGCCACGGATCCCTTTCCCACAGTCTTTCCGGGCTTTCTCATGACACAGGCCTGCCCAGGAGATGAAAAACCCTGGGAGATGGTGTCTATTCTTGGGGCTCCTATACCACGCGGTGCCTTGCTGTCATTTCCAATCAGAGTGGGTGTTGCAGGAAGCAGGAAAGAGCCACCTTGAAAGCCCCAAATGTTACACGCCCAATGCTTCCGCTGGAGCTTCACCAGGTGCTTTGGGAACCTTGCTGATCCAGTGTTTTTTCCACCCCAGAGTACACCCGCTGCATGCATTTGGGAAGCTGGTCACCCAGGATATCCAAGTCACAGTTTCTGCAAGGATTTCCTGCTGGTGGAGCAGCCCAGGAGAAATGAGCCATTGCACTAGACTGCACGAGGGTTCCTTACCCACCCACAGCACCTGAAGGGCCCTTTGCAGCCTTTGGGGGAAGCTCTTGCTGTCTAGCTTGGATGTGACAAGCAGCCACCCAAAGGAAAAGGCAACTGAGCAAATAAGCAAATAACCCCCTGGAGGAGACTGCAGCAGAGACATCCCTGAGGAACAGGCTCTGCTGAAGGCAGGAATGGGCCCTGAGGCCCCATACAACAGCAGAAATGCATGCAGCACTGACAGCGGGCCGTATATCAGGGAGGAGAAATATAGCATAAATGTACAGCAATGCAAGGAGAAAAGCAAAGCTCAACCATCCATAGGTTCCTGAACTCTTACACGCTGTATATGATCTGCAACATGCAGTCCCCAAGTTCTCACTCCAAGCAGTAGACAGCAACAGGACACAGAAAACCAGGCGGTTCTCGCAGCATCCCTCTCTTCCTCCACCCCACGGGGGTCAGACAGGCTCCACCAGCCCAGAAAACCATTTCTGTTTCCCTGCCTGACAACCCTCCGCTGCTTTCTCCTCCCAAGATGGTAGCTGCCAGTAATAGCAGGGAAAGTAACATCCAAGCTGGGAAAATAACATGTTATTTTCCCAGCTGTGATGTCAGAACTTGTCACGCTTACAGGCTTGGGAAGCGGGGCGAGTGCAGGACGCGCGAGCAGCCCCAAAGAGGGATGGTGGCCGCGCTCTTGGGTGCCCATCTCCTTGGCACAAATGTTCTCCTCACCCCAGAGAGGTGCCCAGGAGCCTCCGCATGCCCCTCGGGCTGCCCAGGCATTCGCAGGGCTTGGAAAGGGTTTTCTTTGCAGTTACCTCTTTCCATCTTACATTTCAGAGCAGGTTCAGCCGGTTTCACTTCCCCTCGCTGAGCTGCTCCAGCAACATGCTCGATAGACAGCAAAGCTAAGCCTGGGGACAGAGGGATCTTTAATTTGCCTGCATACGCAACAGGAAAGAAATCCTCTCTCTAAATCAAACCGAAAGAGGGAACTAGACAGTTCTCTTCAGCTGCATGTTTGGCTGCGTGTTGTGGCTTTCTATTTTATTTTCTTTTTCTTAAGCGAGCCCCAAGTCTGATCCCTGCACACGAAAATGAAGACAAAAGAGGGAGAACGAAATCCTCTTAACCACCGTAAAAACAAAGCGCCCCGCGAGGCGACGGGTTTATTGCCCCCTGCCCACCCACCTTGCCCCCTCCGTCTGGCAGCAGTCGCAGAGGAAGAAACCAGGTAGATGCCTTGCTTGGGGGAAGATTTCTCTCCTCCTTCCCCACTTTAATAAAAAGGTACCGATTGCGACAAAACCCTCACGTCCTTCAGAGGCACTTAATCCATTACAAATTTCACAAAGCCCGACTCAGGGAAGCGCTTGGCCAACTCAACGCAAGAAGAGCAAACAAACAAGCCAAGAATAAAGCCCCGCTCTCAATGAAGAGCCCCAGCGCGTGGCTGTTTTTAATTTCTTTCCCCACTTCTCCTCTGGCCGAGCACCTTTTTAATGCTTCCATTTCACTCGCAACCTCGGCGCCGGCTCTGGGAGACGAGTTACAATTACAAATTACCACCACAATTAGCGCTAGTTCTTAGCAAAATTAGAAAGGGGAGCGGGAGGCCCGCATGCGATTGATTGCTATTCATCCTGCTTTACGGTGACCTTGCTCTGGAGACGATGATATTCCTTTAGCCTGGAAACCAGATTAAAAAAAATTAATTGCAAATTAACAGTAATAACACACATTTCCTTTCAATTAATTTAAGCAGAATGAGGGGGTGTGAAGAGCAGGCGTTTGTTAAGGCCTATACAGTTTAATTATATTTTTTCCCCTCCTTCCCACGAGATAATGTAATTAATTTATCTGAGAGGGGTGGAGGGACATGGTGCATCAGCGAGAACAAAGCAGTTAACAGGCAACGGGGAAAAAATTAAGAGCCCATTATGTAAATGCAGCCCGTTTTTGCCGTGTTTAAATGGGGAGGGGGTGCTGGAAATAAGTAAAATAACAAGAGTGGATGCTCGCTGGAAGGCTGTAATTAGGCAGGGCTTTGGATCCCGGAGGGCTGTTAGTGCCGGAGAGGGGCTTGGGAAGCAGCCGGGCGCAGCAGGGAGGGAGGCTGGGATGAGCCGGGATGCTCCAGGATGGAGCCCATGCGGGTCCCGGGCTGTCCCCACGCACCTGAGTGAGTTGATGTTGATGAAGCCGGTGGCGTCGGCGGGCTCGTAGTCCCCTTGCACGTTCATGCTGCGGGGAGAAGGGAGACGGTGACGGTGGCTCCAGGGACGTGGAGCAGGCCTGGTGTCACCACTGAGGCTGTGGCACCGGGGACGGGGGTGACATGGGGCCTTGAGTCCTGCTCAGACCTGCTAGAGGCACCATGTTGTGTCACCAGGCCCAGGATGGAGACCAGAAGCACCATGTTGTGCCACTGGGCCCAGAACGGAGATCAGCGGCACCATGTTGTGACACCAGGCCCAGGATGGAGACCAAGAGCACCATGTTGTATTACTGGGCCCAGGATGGAGATCAGAGGCACCATGTTGTGCCACTGGGCCCAGGATGGAGACTAGAAGCACCATGTGATGACACTGGGCCCAGAATGGAGACCAAAAGCACCATGTTGTGTCAGCAGGCCCAGGATGGAGACAAGAAGCACCATGTGGTGACACCAGGGATAAGGACTGAGGCAATGGTGACATGTCCCGGGGCAGAGGCTCCATGTCACATCCCCAGCCATGAGCCCCGAGGTGGTCTTGGCCACAAGGCAGCTACCACACGTGACACCCCAAAGCGTCACCCAACTCCCACAGCCAACACCATGCCCCAAACACAGGGCTCCTCTCCCGGGAGCCGCAAACCTCAAAAGAAAGAAGGAAAAAGAGGGGATTTTTTTTGTAAAAAAAGAGTTTACAATGATTTTACCTCCCCTGACGGGCTACAGAAAAACCTCTGTGCTTTTATTTTTGCTCATTCGAGTGGTTCTGACCTGCTCTATAATTACGTTACTTTCTACCTACTGTGCAGAGGCATTTCCACACAGCTCTGCCTCTCACAGCTTTCTCTCGGGTTCCTGTGACGCCGTCACTCAAAGGCTTTCAAACCAGCGATGTAGAAATCAAAAAGAAAAGGAAAATGGTTGGAGACGCAGGGAGAATAAGTGCCCCTGCTTTTCTCTCCCTCTTTTTCCTCAGTCCCACCCCCCTCTCCATCCTCTATTTTTTTTTCCTTCCTTTTTTTTTTTTTTTTAATACTTTATTCATTTAATCTCTCCAAGTGAGAGCGCAAGGCATAATGAAGGGTTGGGACGGATTATTAGGAGCTGTTGATTTTGAGGGGGAGGGAAGGGGGGGAAAAAAGCCACAGAAGAGAAAGAGAGAAGATAATTTGACATTTACTCCAACTGATCTAAACTCATTCGGGTATATTTATGGCTTATAAAGTGTTTAGAGAGATTGAAAGGGGTTGAGGGAGGGCTGGGAGGGGGGATGCAGCGCACAAGCGAGCAAGCAAACAAGATGGAAAAAAGCAAAAGCCCGAGGGAAGAAAAAAGGATAATATTGACTTCAAAACAAGGCTCGTGCTGCCGACGGGCACGCGGCTCCGAGGAGGTTGTCCTGGGCATTGTGATGGGGCAGCCTTGAGTGGCTCTTGTGGGAGGGAGATTGAACCCAAAGGGGCACTGGGAGCCCCATTTTGGTGACTGGGGAGCCCCATTTTGGGCACTTGGCTGGAGGAGAGATTTATTTTAAAGCCAGAAGTTGGTCTTGGTTTTTAGGTCTCTGCCATGCCCGGTCTGCCCAGGTTGGTGGCGTGCTCTTCAGCCCCACACCATCACCCTCCTCACCCACCGCGGCGCTTCCCTGGACCCTCGGCGTGCAGCGGGACGCCGCTGGCCCCGCGGGCGCTCACCTCACCAGCTCCTCGTTGTACAGCGAGCGCGGCGACGCGCGGCCCAGCACGTAGACGTGGCCCTTGAGCACGGCGAGGCGCACCGTGCCCTGCACGGCCTCCTGCGAGCGGCCGATGCAGTGCCGCACGAACTCGCACTCGGGGCTGTGCCAGAAGCCTGCGGGCGGGAGGCGGCGTTAGCGGGGTCGGGTCCACACCAGGACAGACCCCATCCCGCTCTATGTCCTGGAAGGAAGGTGCTGGAGAAGCAGCAGGGATGGGATCTGGGCGAGGATGAGCGCGCCTGGGGGCCATGTGAAGCGGTGGAGATGTCATCAGTTGCCTTGATGGCCCTTGGTTTTGCCACCTGTGAAATGGGCTGAACACAGAGGCAAACAGGTGCCCTTGCAGGGGGCATTAAAGGCCTCTGTGTGACAGACTCTGGGGACACACCAGCCTCATGGGGAGCAGCGGAGGCCCGAGGAGGTCACCCCCAGCAACCACGTGCTCCACTGGGGTGCCCACACCAGCACCCCATATATCCCGCTCTGGATCACCCTAGGAGCATAAACCCTGCCCTGCAACAGCCCCTCCTGCGTGGCAGACGGGACAGGACGAGGCCCCAGCGGCTCCCACGCCTGGGACGGTGGCCCCCAGCCCACTCCCACGCTCCCGTCCCCGCTGCAGCGGGCAGCGGCTCCCGAGAGGTGACCCGGCCCGGGGGGGCCTGACCCCGGGGCGCTATCGCCGTGCGGATCAGGGCACATATGTCTGGGGCAGCTCCCAGGTAGCTCACCTTCCCCGGCCCTTTCTAGGGTGATACGGCTCTGCTTTCCTCCCACTGCCGCGCAGCGCATCTGTCGCCGCGCGCCCTCGGCACCTGGATGCACAAGGAGCACCCGGGTCCCATCCTGCCCACGCCACGGGGCAGGTTTTACTCAGCTCGCTCTGAACATTTGCGTCCCCGCTCCTGGAGAGGTAGCGGGAGACGGGAAGATGACAGCTCTGCCGGCATCCGGAGCGAGGCTGCCCGTGGCCCCGGTCCTCCAGCCTGGCCTGCCATTCCTGTGCACCCTGCTGTCACTAAGCGGGGTAATTAGCCACGGAGCCCTCCGAGACCCGGAATAAAGCCCAGGAGATGGAGAAGGAGATAGAGAGAAAGAGAGCCTATTCACCAGCCGCCAGCGATGCCGGCGTTTTATCTCTCTAATCTCTCTCCCGTTCTGTTCACACACAGGTGCCCTCTCACCTTTCCTTTCCCAGCTGGCCTTCGGGGACGAGGTCCAAGCCATTAGAGAAACAAACAGTTGCTTTTGTTGTTTCACCTCGACCGGAGCCGGGCTGCAGCGATGCAGCCGGGCCCCCTCCAGCTGGGACAACCTCCTGGTCCATGCGGGAGCCATCCCTATGGACACAGTGTGTGTTTCCTTGCACACGCTGAGGTTTCCTTTGCAGCCTTCCCTAAGGGTCTGGTGTTGGGACCAGCTGGGGACAGGCATCTCCTTCCATGGAGCTGCCACGTGGTCCCTATGGAGCACATGGTCTCTGGATGAGGCTGGAATGAACGTGGTCCTGCAGCGGGGACTCCAACGTCCCCCAAAGCAGGTCTGCTGGGCAAGCAGCATCGCAGCACTGAGAGCCCGGTTACCAGCAAATAAACCCCTCTTTTTGATAAGCGCACCCAAAGTCAAACTCTTCAAACGCCAGGACTGATTTAGGGCTGTTGCATCCCCATAACAGGAGGAAGCAAAAAAAAAAAGACACATTAAAATAATAACCAGCTACTTAAATCCTGACTCTGACAACTCCAGGTGTGAGGAAGCGCCCCCTCCTTCCTCACCCCCCACTGCAAACACATTCCCCACTGGAAGCGAGCCCTCTTAATAGCCTTCCCACTCTGTAGCTGCCATCCAGCTCTAATCGTTCCAATCTGCGGCGCAGGCAGGGCCGCTGGGGGACAATGGCATTTAAACACCTGGCCCTACCTGCCAGGAGCGCTCTTCAAAGCCACAAAGTCTCCACAATGGGATCGGTCGGGATGGAGGTGGGGGAGATAAACACTAATTCTCTTAAAGTCAGAGCCTAGTTGCAGTAATGAGGTGTTGAAGGAGGGAGAGCTTGAAAGCCTGGCCTGCAGCGGCCACCCTTGGGTGGGAGGGGGCCGCCTTTGAGCCTGTTTGCACCGCTTGGGGTATTCCTGCATTCAGGCTCTCCCGCATGGGCTGTGTCCTGGCCAAAGCACCTGGATGCTGTCCTGATGGAACCCAAATTGGAACCCAAATCACAACCACAAGCAACCAGGCACCTTGCTCAGCACCCCCCAATGCATGTGGTGGACAGGAGCTTCCACCCTGTGCAAGCCCCTATCCGTGGCACCCATGCCCACGGACATGGCAAGATGGTCTCAGCCCCACGGACGGGGCTTGCAAGTTCTGGTAGAAAGATCAGGGCCTCAGACATGCCCAGACCTTGCTTCAGCTGGGATCCGGGTTCACACACCATAGCCGAGCGGTTAGACTGTGGATGTGCAAGACAACACAGCCAAAAAAGGGCATTTTTGGCCAGCCCACACAGCTGCATGTACAACACCACATCAAACACAGCAGCACAATAGGCACAACAACCTTCACTCTGCTCCGAGTCCAACCAGCTTCCAGCCTTGGCTCTTTGAGGCCGTCCCGTATCCGCAGCACCTGGTAGCTTCCCAGCCCTGCTTCCCGCTTTGCTGCTCACGCCGCCTTGCTAACGTAAACCAAACACATCCATACCGGGATGAAGCACACCGCGGCGAGCAGCTTTCTTAACAAAAGCGCCAGAAAACACCGTTGGGCAGCACGAAGCAACAGCTTCAACCTGCCTGACTCGGAGCTCGCCTCGTGGAGCTGCCCGGCACGCGGAGGCTCTGGCAAACGCACCAGGAACCGGATCAAAGAACGCTCCCGTGGCCAAACCGGCTGTTGCTGCGGGCTGAAGCAGCCGGGTGACTATCACAGCTGCTGCAGGAAGGTTACCGGCTAACAAGGCTAATCAGTAGTTTCAGTGCTGTAATGTTTGGTTTGGGGGGAGCCTTGTCGAACCGCGCGGGAACAGGGCTGCGATTCCCGCAGGAAAGGCAAAGGGCCCTGCCCATAAACGCGGCGCTTTATTTTCTGTTCCGACAGCACTCGGAGCCGCAGAAAGAGGAGCCTTTTTGCTTGCAATAGGTGGGGGCGATAAATAAAAACACTGTTACCCAACCGGCTCTTTAATCTTGTGGCTTCACAACAATCAGGTGTTTAGAAATAAACAAACAGGTTTAGACTTAAATGAGAGCAAAAAATAAAAGCCAACGCAGAACAAAGTCTAATACAAATAGCCAGAGGCAGACAGAGCATCAGAGAGCGAGTTAAAAGAGGCCGTGATTCAAGAGCTTCTTTCTCTGTGCTCAGCAGCAGGGGACAACTGTGACTTCCCGGTGGCCCAGCACCTCTTATACCCCCCCGGGCAGTTGGCTCAGCCTCCCCGGCCACGGGAGCACTCGCCCTGCTGCAAAACCCATGCACTGGAGCCCCTAAAACAAAGTTTAGGCAGCAAGTGGGCTCCTGCATGAAGGGCCAGGTCTTAGGTGCAAGTCTGAGGAAGCAGCAGCAGGTAACATCCCCCGAGAGGAAAGCTCAGGGGACAAGAACGTGGACGTGGGGAGCCAAGGAATCCGACTGTGGGGATCTCCGTGGGAATTCATACCGAGTTAATCGTTGGATTAACTCGCAGGAGCACAGTGCTGGGAGCAGAGAGCGGCGTAGCAGGAATTCGGGTGCAGGGCATGGGGGCTCTGGGCACATCTGCAAGACTTAGGAGTGTCTCTCCAGTTTGGCATCAGACTGACCCTGCGTTTCGGCATGGAGAAGCTCCCGGGGTCGCGGGGACCTCCCCGCTGGGCTGCCCTTCCTGCCTAGCTCAGGGTGGCCCGGAGCACAGCAGCCTCAGGCAGAACCTCGTCCCCTCCATGGTCTGTTCCCTGCAGACCCATGGGCACGGTGCAGAATGGGCTGAGACCCTCCAAGCCGAGCCCTTGCAGGCAGCGGAGCAGAGCCAAGGGGCAGCAGTGGAGGATGAAGGGCCAGGGGCTTCACTGCTCTCCACAGCCTCACTCCTTCCTGACTCCTATGCAATATCTCGGCAGTGCCGCCCTTACCAGGGCACGGCCAAGCAGCATGAACGTGGGCACGGCCGCGGCAGCCTGGTGCGGGCGCAGGGCTGCCCGGCCCCCGTTTTTGGCTGCGCTTTGGGGTTTGCGCTGCGGCGGCCCCGGCCAAGCTGCAACGCGCAGTGCCCCTGTGTGGGCTGCGCGCCGCATAGCACAGCAGACCGCCCTGACCCAAACCGCAGCACCCGGAGCCCCTCTGGAGAGCTCCCGGGTTGGAAAAGCTCCTGCTCGGGGTGGGGTTGGCAGTGGCTGCCGGGCAGAGGGACACTCTGCTTATCCCGGAGCAACTTATTCCAAGCCGCGATCCTGTCTCTGGCACCGCGCTGGTGGAAGGGATGAAGTTCTTGTGACGTGACAGGCTGGTTACCAGCCGTGAGCCACAGAGGCAAGGGTGTAAATGGGAGGGGGTCAATATCCCCAATCTGGGATCGGTGCGAGCCCTGACGGACGGGAGCCGGCACCTTGGGGAATGTCCTCTGGATACACCCCGCAGAGCCACAGCTTCCCCAGCACCCCGAGCCACAGGCGCTGTGCCCCCCAGGATACCACCGGTGCCAGCCCACGCTCGCAGCCTTGTGGCCAGCAGACCCTTCCCACGTTCACATGGATATATCAGAAGCGGAGCAGACTCCTGGTCGGAAAACTGCCCCGTGTCACAGCGCTGGGCATGGGACAGGCCAGCAGGGCTGGTGCTGGTGCCGGAGCAGCAGCAAGCTTGGGGCAAGGACACAGCTCCAGCAGCAGCTCCAACAGTTCCAAGCTTTGCTAGGAACATCTCCCACCAGCAAGCCCTCTAGCAAGGTGGCACTATTCCCAAAGAAAAACACGGACCTGCCTCAGCACGAAGGCAGGCAGGATGCTCCAAACACCAGCAAAACCATTTTTTCCCTCCTCCTACGGATACCCTGAAATCCAGAGCTGCGTTTTGTAGCCCTGGCCCATTACTACGTAACCAACAAGCAGCATCTGCCGCCGTTGGCGGCAACGGGGCTGGTGCGGGCGTGAGGAGGAGGGCTGAGGAAGGCTGCGGTGGCAGGGACCAGGCTGGAGGATGGTACATACCGTTGTACACCAGCTCGGAGAATTTCAGGGCGAGCCCCTGCTTGATTTTCCGCACTTCCCGGTCCATGGTGAAGGCCTCGATATCTAAATGTGCATGGTATAGGATCGTTCCCGCTGGGGTCTCATAGATACCTAGCCATTTTTCCAGGCAGGGGGAAAAGCAGAAAAAGAGAGAGAAACGAATGAGACCAAACCTGTCAGCAAATGACAAAAAATAATGACTTGGCTGACAGAAGGAGCCGTGGTCGAGCGCATTCAGTCCCAGCTTGTTGTAAAATGCATCTGTCATTATATTCATGCTGGGGCCGAGACAGTCCACTCCGCACCTTGTGGAGAAAATTTCTAGATTCCCCTCTTTGAAGAGGCACTCTGACGAGGCTAAATGACAGGGTTTGGGAACCGATCCCCCCACGGCTACGTGCCCAACGGTCTGCGGCTGAAAACCTGTAATTAAACGCACGACGCGGGGCCCGAGCTCCCCTCCTCTCCCCGCCACCGGCGGGAAGGAGCACGGCACAAGCGAGGATACCCAGGGATGCAGTGCCCTGGGCATCTCCCAGGGCTGCCAGGACCCCCGGCTTCCTCCCCGAGTCGGGAAGACCCTTTGGTGGAAGGACATTTGATTTGCACAAGGGGAAGAAGCTCTTGCAAGCCGGGGCAGGGGACCCGCTCCTTTTGTTCCTGCTGCTCGCGGCTTGTTTTCCACACAACGTGTTTACTTCTCACTTAAATACGGGTAAAAGTCAGCAGCTGGAGACACAGGCACCTGCAGGAACCATCGTCTGTGATGCCCGTTGAGCTGGCATGGGGATAACCTGCCCGTTCCTGCTCTCCACCCTTGCATCCCCTGCCCGTTCGGGCTTGCTAGCTCATGTCACAGAGAAACCAGACGTTCTCCCCCAAAACATACAAATGCTGAATTCGATAAGGATAAAGCTTGAACATCTCCCACGGTGCTCATGCTGCAATACTCTGGGGCCAGGAGCTGCCTAAGGAACCGCTTTCCATGGTGCCCGGTGGCTGGCAGGACACCACAGGCCACCCCTACCAGCCAGGGGAGCACTGACCTTCGCTGCCAAAATACCCAACACTCTTCAATTGAAGAGGAAATGAAGGGAAAAAAGCACTGCAGGTGGCTCCAACTGCCCGCCGAGCTGCGTAGGGGTGCTGAGCCCCTCTGCAGATGCCACCACGTGAGACGGTACCTGCAGTCACCGTCCCCTCTTTGAGGGAACCCACCTGAATGGCACCACTGCCAGAACCTCCTGCTCATTCCTCATCCAGGAGGACAACATGAGCTCCCATGCAGTGCCCCATCCCATCCCTGGGGGCCGCCCAGGCCTTCTCGACACCCGTTTTCCCCGTTATTCCCCCACCAGCCGTGAGGAAACCCGCTGCCCAGGAGCGCGGCCGTGACAGGCGGGGAGGCGAAGTGACAGCCCCGCCGCCGCGAGAGGCGCCTTCAAAGTGACACTCGCGGCGGCTCCGAGTGTCTATTTTCATCTCCCCGTGTTTACAGGGAAAAAGACAGAGGTGTCAGCAAAGCAGCCTGGCGAGGCTTCAATCACCCCGTAATTACCGCCGGGGCCGGGGGGCCCGAGGAGGCAGCTGAAGTCCCCTCCTTTGCAAGCGCCGCTCTCAGCTCAACCTCCACCCGCGCGTCGTGCGGCGCGGAGCGAGGACTGCCCCGGTACCCAGGACAAGGTGCCAGCCGACAAGGGGGCTGGGAAGATGTCCCAAATCCCTCCTGCTTTGGAAAACCTCTCCGTGCCTCTGTTTTTCCCGGGTGGAGCGGGGATGGCTGGGAGCCGCCGATCGCGTCCCCGCGAAGCCACCAGCCGCCGTCGCGAGCGCGCCTCGCGGTGACACGCGGGAGACAAACGTGACAGTTAAATGGGCTTGGGAGAAATTATTAAATGCTGCAAGGGTCACTAGAGCATGTCACCGGCTCCTTAAAAAAAAAAAAAAGAGGGATTTTGACAAATTACTCAGCATCCTGCACACAAATGCAGCGCGTGGTTGCGTGCAAGGGGATTTTCCCCCCCCTTTTTATTTTCTTTTTTCTTTTTTTTTTTTTTTTTTTAATTCGATTGTTTAAATTCAGATCAAACAATCGAGGGTTTGGGTTTTTTTTTTTTGGTCCAAGGAGCCCATTGGGTCTCAGGGTAAGGAGGGGGAGCCGGGGGGGCTGTGCACTGCTGCGAAGTGTTATCACAATATTTGCTTGCGCCCTGCCACAGAGTGCAAGTTTAAAGAAAGGGAGCGTCTAATTAGGCATTAACGAGATTTAAAGCAGAAGAGTGCAGGCGCACGGAGAGGGGACTGATTAGGAGCTCTGAATGGGGCTGCTCCTCCTCGGGAGATTTGCAATTAAGCTGGTCCCTAATGGATGATCAATACAAAGAGCACAAATAATGGCATAGATATATCAATTAATCAAAGAACTGGCTTGAAGGAAAAAAAAAATGAAACCCGTGACTTGGATTTGCCTAAGCTTTGTATCTCTGTAATTCTTTGCACTGTTAAGGACCTTAAAAGAGTATTTCCCAAAGCAAGCTGGGTCCCTCTCATTCATCTCATTCTGCAGGCTGGGTCCCAAGGAAAAGCACCAGGATTTGGAGCTCTGGTAAAAATCCTGGGAGCTGGAGGCAGCGAGTCAAGCCCAAACTTGACGTTTTTCCCAAGACTTGAAGGGGAAAGAGTTTGCAGGGGACCTGCCGATCCTGGTGGCAACGTGACCCCAGCTTGGTGCCAACTGAGACGCTGGCAGGGCCTCCAAAACCACTGTCATTAGCGAGGTCAGTTCAAAGCCCCTTCAAAAGCAAGATCTTGATGCTGCTTAAAGAGGAGCCTGGGGCCCGGTCCTGCCTGCCCAGGACGGGGAAGGTGCCGCTCACCTCTGGACTTCATTCCCACGAAGCGGTTCTCCACGATGTCGATGCGCCCGACGCCGTGCTTGCCTCTGCAGGAGAAACGGAGCAGCTGGCACCCTGCGCGTCTCAAGCCATCACCAAAATTGAGGAAACCAACCCAAAAATGATACCCCACAAGCAGCTCCGCTGCGACCAGCATCAGCAGTGATTCTGATAGCTAAACACCCGCTTTTCTCCACCACGGGAGGAGCACCTTTCTTAGTAAACCCTTGTCCCAGGAGCAGGGCACAGGGCTCCTGGAAAAGCCGTTTGTCCCCCTGGACATGGTGACCTGCGTGGTTGCCACCCTACAGAGATGGGACAAGGCTGACCCAGCACCCAGCGTCAGCAGGTACCATTCCAAGGATGCTGTCTGGGTCAGCCTGGTTGGATGAGTGACACAAAGGGACTTGTTCTCTTTGCCCGTCTCTCGTCACCGGTGCCAGCCTCCCTCTCCTGCCCTTGTAGCACCTGGGATGGTCGCCCAGGGCTTGGTGGCCACCGGAGAACGAACCGGGCAAAGCAACGGCATGGTGGGGGGGGACACGGGGCGCTGCTGCAGCTGTATTCATGATGGCCGAAGTCATTTTAAAACCACTTAATTAACATTTAAAAAGAGAACTACATGGAAAAGTTCATTCCCATTCAGCTGCGGGGGGATAAAGGCGGGGGCACAAAGGAGGACGGCGCCGGGGAGCCGCGCGGCGCTCGGCGAGGGCGGCATGCGCGCCGGTGCCACCGCCGCGTCCCAGGGCTGTCCCCTCAACCAGGGGGACAGAGCGGAGTAAACAAAATGACCCCCAAGGGTGGGATCTGTTGGAGCCCGAGTTCCTCTCCTAGGACGGGAATGTGGGAAGATACGGGAATGTGCCAGAGGCAACCGCACCATGTCCGCATCCTGCCTCTCCCGGTGCCACCTGCCCCGCGCGCGGGGACTCACGCGATCTCGTTGAGGTAGACGAAGAGCTCCAGGGCCTCCTGGCGGGCGGCTCCGTCCCCGGCGTTGGTGACCTTGACGGGGACACCTGCGGAGCCGCGGCCGGCTCAGCCCTGCCCGTCACCCCGCGCGCGCTAAGCCGACCTGACAGATATGAACTCTAAATAACTTCTTAAAAAGCCACATCCAAGCTGCTGCCGGCGGGAGCGGCGCGGAGGGGGACCCACCTCACCAGAAAGAGCCCAAATAAATAAATAAAAAAGGGCCATAAGAACGCCCACCCCCCCCTTACTCACTCCCTTTTTTTAATTTTAGGGCCTGTGAAATCGCGACCAGGCCCTGAACTAATTGAATTTCACGCTCGGTGATTGTCCTCGGGCCCGGCACCGTCTGTCCCACCAGCGCCGGGCGGGCGCGAGGGCTCCCGTCCCACCCGCCGGAGCCGCGGGGCTCCCCGCTACCGCCCCCTTATTATATTTATTTATTTTTCACGGCTCCGGGTGGCAGGCCGCGAAGGAGAAGCCGGGGAAGGGGAAGGGAAAAGGGGGGAGCGGTTTTTTTTAAAAAAAAAAAGCCCTGAATAAAAAGAGGCATTTTCTTTAGCGGTGTGAAATGAGCAATAAATGTATTAGGAAGCTGACAAGGGGACCGCGGGGCCCACAAAGGCGAGCGGCGCGGAGCCGGAGGCTAATCCCTCTCCATCTGCCCTGCTCATTACCATCCCGCGCGCCGCCGCTTGCCGCTCCGCGCTCAATGCCTCCCTTTCGAGGCTTTACAACGGAGGCTCCCGCTCGAGCCGGGCTCCCCCCGCTGCCTAGACCCCTATTTCCCCCCCCACACTTTTTTTTTTCCCCCTTCTTTAAATCAACTCGGTTGTAAATTGCTATTAAATGTAAGTCGCGGCAATAATGAAGCTTAAGCTCTTTCTGCGCGCGGCCTCCGCGCGCTCTTGGCCGCTGTCCACCCGGCGCGGAGCCCGCATTGTCGGGGCCGCCGCTGCCCAAAGCTGCTTAGCCTCGGAAAGGGGCAATAATTAGATTAAAACTTCAAATAAATTAACTCGGGGGCCGGCTGAGGCGCAGGGGAGGGTCTCCTCGTCCGTGGGGAGGATCGGGAAAATGGAGCTGCTCAAGGTCCCCATGGGGTCGGGAAAGGCTCGTGTGGTGGGGAAGGTGCCTTGGGGACATCCCAGGTGGTGCCAGGCTTGGGGACAGCCCCGTGTGTCCTGCCCGGTGGCCTTGCTGGACCATGGGATCTGTCCCTGGGAATGGGTGCAGCCGGAGCTGCGAGGATGAGGAGGGTCTCGACCTGCATGGGGAAAAGGCTGCTGCGAAGCAAGTGCCTACCCTGTTTGAACTCGATCTCCAGGATGTCCGGGGTGTCCGGAGCGGTGGCTGGATCACAGGTCTTCGTGTAGAGCCCAGGGGGAGCTGGATTCTAGAGGGAAAGAAAAGGGTGAAGATGGTTGGTCCATGGACATGGCATCTCCCAGCCCCACGGCATCACATCCCCAAACTCACAGGAACATATCCCAAACTCCACCACATCCACCAGCTCCATAGGAACATCATCCAAAACTCCATGGCACCATGTCCTCCAACCCCATAGGAACATCATCCCAAACTCAGGGCACCATGTCCCCAACCGCACAGGAGCATCATCCCAAACCCCATGGCACCACATGCCCAACCCTACAGGAACATCATCCCAAACCCCACGGCACCAAGTCCCCAACATTATCCAAAACTCCATGGCATCATGTGCCCAGCCCCACAGGAACATCATCCCAAACCCCACAGCACCATATCCACCCATCCCCACCACACCACCCATCCCACCCCTAGACCACATCCCGCTCCAGGGCCGGCACAAAGGCGCTCCGAACCTTCCCGAGGGGGGCGGCCCCACAAACAAAGGGCTAGGAGAAATCAGACAATTTTTCCCCTCAACTTGATCTCATCTTTTCCTTCGACGCCCCCACAGCTGGAGGCGGAATAGCTGCGGGGAAGCAAGTCAGGCAGGGAAAAGTGCGACTTTGGCGGAGCGAGGCGGGTCCCGCGCGCGCCCCGGCCCCGCGCGCTTCATTCCGAAGAAAAACTAATGACGAGACCTGACCCCAGCAGGTGCTCGCGGCGCGTGGGCTCTTTCACGGTGTCCCCGAGGTTAATACGCACGGGGGGGAAAATAGAGCAACAAAGCAAAAACCCATTTCAGAACGCATCAACCTTTATGTATATATATATATATATATATTTTTTTTTCTCTCTAGATTTAGAGTAAAGAGGCGTCTTATCTCTTTTAGAGCTGGCCCAGTGGAAGCCGGGGTGACAACAGTGAATTGCAGCAATTGAAGCACGTACCAGAACAGCAGGAAAATAGTAAAAAATAGGCTTTCCGTCCCAGAAAGCAAGATGATGAGGGAGCTTCGGCGTTTAGCACAGCCCTCTCTCCAGCACCCGTGCGCAAATGCTCTGGGCCTGAAACGCTTCCAGCCCCTTATTTAGGGATGCGAGAGCCAAATGGGACACGGAGCACCTGCCTACATCCCTGGGGTCCGTGCAAGGAGGTAGAAATCACAAAAAGAGCTTCCTGACACACTGGCATGCATGGAAACAGCTTCAAGTCACATACATTGTCCCCAAATTTCCCTGCGTTTTCCAAAATCAGGAAGTTTTTAAAGCAGCACCGTCCTTTGCTTTTAAGCAGACAGGTTGGCAAGACTCTGCCCTTGGTTTCTTTAATCCAGGATGTCCAAATATTTCCTTAGCTTCGAGTGGCTCCGTTTGCTCCTTTCTCCTTCCACCCATGCGCGGACCCAAGGGCAGCACGAACCACAAGATGCTCCCTAAAACCACCCAGAAATCTCACTGCAGAGCAGCTGCACGCTCACGTGTGGCGCAGCGTGGCCTTTCCCCAAACCCGTCCTCTGCTGCAAGGGTGATAAAAGGGCATTTTCCTGCAAAGCCCGGGCAGCTGGAGCCCTTGGCTCTGCACGGGGCTCCCCTGCCTCATCTCTCCTGTTTAAAGCAGAAACTTTCTTCAATTCCTCTCTCTTCTTTTCCCTTCCAGTGAGGAATGAAAGGCCAAAGTAGAAAACAAGTAGGAAACTGGCTAAGAAATGAAAAAATGATTTTTTGGGTCTTTTTTTTAAAAGAATGGAAAACTAGCTTCTCTGCAAAAGTTGACATCTAAAATTCAAAGCAGAGAAACAAACTTTTTAGGGGGATTTTCATTTTTCTTATCTAATAAGTAGCCAGAAGATACTATTCCAACTGGTGCCGGGTATCCAGCCTGCTCTTGCTAACCTGTCCCAACTTGGTTTGTCCTCCAGGCACCCTGGGAGGTGCTGGAGCCCAACAACATTCCCGGGATACTTGCAGCCCGGGACACGGATAATCCCACAGGGAGTTAACGGGGGTTATTCCCAGGAACCCATGCACGCCACAGCAAAAACTCTCGGGAATCACTGCTCCATCGTCTTCTTGCCCCTTTCCCTGTGTTTAAGCAGCAGGCGCCGGCTCGCGCATCCCGATGGGATGCCACCGGCTGTGGCTTCTCCATTCGGCAGCGCCCGGCCTCTCCTGGCCCGGCTCATACTGATTTCCAGGGAGAAACCCGCCGGAGATGATGAAAAACTTGGAGTTCAAAAGGAAAGACGAGGCTGGAAGGGGGGAGCAACAACAGGGGAGCCGGGGGGGCAAGAAAACCAGAAACTATTAAAAACTCTTTACTAAACATTGGAAGTCAAAGTCAGGCAGTTTCCAATTTTCTAAGGCAACTATGAAAACCCCTATTAAATAAAATAACTAAATAGAAATAAAAGTGACATTTGGCTTGCATTCCATCATTACGGCGCGCGGCTGTCCGCTTTTTATTCTCCCTCCTAAAAGCACAGTTCAAATGACAAATAGTTTGTTGCAGTGTATCAATGCCTCCTATTTATCCGGCCCCGCAGGGGGGCTCGTCCTGCAATGTCATCTTTAAAGGGGAGAGAGGGGAGGAAAGGAGAGAGGGAGGGGGGGAAAAAAAAGAAGGAAGAGTGCGTGGAAAAGGGAGGGAGCGGGGGAGAAAGCAGCAAGAAAAACGGGGCAAGAAGAGAAGAAATTGGAAGCAAATGGTCCATGAAGTAAACCATGATGCAGAGCTATCGATGCCGCAAATGGTTTATTCATCCGGCTGATATTGTTGTGCCCGGGCCTGAATGAACTCTTTCAGAGTGCCATATGAAGTTAAAGCAAGTAAATTTCTATCTTTCTCCGCATTAGCTGCCTCATTGCCCTTCAATCGGGCCTCACAGAGGCAGAAAATAGCTCAACCATCTGCTTTCAAATCCCCGCGCTTGGCAGCGCTCGGGGGGAGCCGCGGCCGCTCCGCACCCCGGGCGCTCCCGAGAGCCGCTCCGCATGCGGCACCCCGGACTGGCTTGTCCCGGGATGGGAAAGGAGCCGGGATGGAGCAAATTGGCCCCGGAGCCTCCCGGGACAGCTCCACATTTGCCACCCAGGTGGCTGGAGGATTCCTGGATGGGCTTTGGCCGAGCAGCCCTGTCACCGCGGAATCGGCCCTGTTTTCCAGGCTGGTTTTAGCCTGGAAAACTCCCTCCACCGGGATATGTAGAGGGGGGCATGGGGAGCAGAGAGACTTGCCACCCCAGCAGGGATGGGGATGTCCTCAGCAAGGGGGCAGGTCCTGCTTTTCCGGAGGGCACCCGGGGTGACCGATCCGCATGGCATCGAACGGGCTCTGCAGACGGGATGGCCCCACTGTGGGGAGCGAGGGGCACCTGGGGCCGCGTTGGCCCCGCGGTCCCCTGCACAAGGCAAGTGCCAGCCCAGGCTTGAGGCTGCCCGCTTCTGCCTCCCCCTCTGCCCACATAGCTCATGGATGCGGGAGGTCGCTCTCCTCGGCGTCACGCGTGGCAGGGACATCCTCACAGGACGCACCAGGTGCCCACGTAGAGCACTGGGACAGAGCCACAACAGCAGCGACTCGAGGAACCAGCCCTGGCGCCCTCCATCACCTGCCTAACGGCACCTCCTTCATCCCCCAGCGTTGGATCCCCCGGGATCCCCCCAAAACGGCGCGCGCCCCGTGGCCGCCGCGGCTCGCGCGCCGCCGGCGGGACCCGGCCTCCCGGCCACACACGGCCCACCGTGAAATTTCCAATTAGGCGGCGGCCGCCCAGGCGGCGAGGCGGGAGGTGATGGATTACCTTGGGGTTCTCCAGGATCCCGGCTTCGTAGCTGCGGAGAAGGGAGAGATGAGGCTGCAGGCGGCGCGCGCCGTCCCAGCGCGTTCCCGTGGCGGAGCTGCCTCCAGGATGTCCCGTGGGGATGGGAGCAAATCCCTATTCCAGCTCCCCTGGGTTTTCCTGGGGACCCGTGGAGGGACTGCGAGGTTTGAGGGAGTGCAGAGGTGATGGGCTTGGCTGCCATGGGGCATGGATGGCTCTAGAAAGCTGGAGATGCTGCGGCTGGAGCTGCAGATTGCAGAGAGCCCTGCGTGGACAGGGCTGCATCTCCTCCATGGCTCCAAAGGTGCAATGCAACAGGGTGGGAGGACATGGAAAAGCAGGGAAAAGAAGGCATAGGTTCTCAGCACTTGCTCCGCTGGGTGCTCACCTGATGTGCATGAGGTTTTCATCCATGCTCCAGGGCGTCTGGGGCGTCACCGGCACCGGGATCCCGTGTTTCTGCGGGGAGCAGGGCAGGAGCCGTCAGGGAGCCCGGGCGCGCGGCGCCCACGGCCCCCGTCACCTCCCGCCCGACACCCAGCGCCCTGACAAGGCCACCGGCACCGTGAATCAACCCCTCGCTTCTCAACGGGGGAAATGGCCTGTGAAGACGAGGCGGGTGCGTGGGGGAATCAGCGGAGGAGGCAACGGGTGCGAGCGAGAGGCAGCGGCCGAGCCGAACCGGGACAGCGTCCCACGTGTTTGTGGCAGCTCCATGCATGATGCCAACGGGAGCTGCCAACCACAATGCCATAGAGCAGCCCAGGTGTCACAGCCAGCCTGGCATTGCTGCAGCATCCTGGTATTCCCGGAGATCCGCCACAAACTGGAGCAGGGACGGGGGTGGATCATCATGGAAATCATGGATAATCATGAGTGACCTGCCGGACCCTCCAGCAGGAGCCACCTGCCAACTCCCTCATCCCTAGCACTGAGCCTCCATGGAGGTGGGATGTTTGACCTGAATTAATCAATGCTGATCAATTAACAATGGCCAATTATCACTGGGTTCTGCTGGTGCTGCGGGGCCCTCTCTTGCCTTGGCTCGCACTCATCTCACCTGTGGCTGATCCCAGCTGCTTCCAAACCAGTCAAGTGCAGGGTTGGGGTTTACAGCCCCTCATTCCTCCAATTCCTAACCTGGACCATCCCCTGCCATGGGAGCACCCCAGGAAGGGAGCAAAACCCTGACGTGCATCAGCTTGAGCAGACCCCCAAAATGAAAAAGCAAAGAAAAAACGAAAAAAAATCCCAAACACACGTCCCAATTTCCCCCTAATAAAACCACGTTGCTCTTAATAACCATCCAAGCTGACACGTTGTTTGGCAACATATGGAAAGCTCCCGCCAACATGCACAGATGGTGAATGGGGTCCCGTGCATGCCGTGTTGGAAGCCTCGGATGGGCCCCAGTGGCTTCGGCACCGCGGCCACCCGCCCCGCAGCGCCCGGGCGGCTGCTATTTAAAACCCAGAGCAATTTTCTGGTTCCTGCGCCGCCGCGCTGCCTTTCGCCTCCTGATTGATTGAGGCGAGTTGTCAAGCATTTCCATGGAGCCCCGCAAAAAAGAAAGGTTCCCTGGTGGGCACTTAGGCAACCTGATGCAAAACTTGTGATATGTTTTGGTGCAACTTGTACTTCAAAAAGGAAGGCGCGACCCAGGGGGAGGCGGCCGCTTTTGTGCGCGGCGCGAGGCCCGGCGGAAAGCGGCTTGCAATTAGCGGCCAGGTAATTACGGGCCTTTGAGAAAGGAGGGAGAACAAAAAACCAAGGAAAAAGGGGAAAGGAAAGAAAAGGCGGCGCCAGCCCCGTTCCCTACCTCGGCGTAGTCCATGAGCTCGCGGCGCCCCGGGAAGCGGCGGTAAAACTCAGGGAGTCTCCATGGCGCGATGACCTGGCACGAGGATGAGGACGGGTGGCCTTTGTCCCAGACTGTCACATTTCTCATGTTTTTCCTTTATCTCTATAAGCTTTGTCTATATAGAGCCCAGGTCCCCTTCAAAAGCCTCCTTTCATCCCTTGGTGGGGCTGGACCCCCTGCGCCGGGTGGCTATGGGGACACAGCAGGTGATTTCGGGGGTCCCTGGGCAGGAGGCGCGGGGATGCCCCACAGCAGCTGCTGCAATGGGGTAAAAAGAAATCCCCCTCCAAAACCAGGGCCACATTTATCCGCGCTCAGCCCACCAGGCAGCCCCACGGAGCGCTCGGGGGCGGCGGGTGCCTTACCTGGATGCCGGGACACAGCGCGTAGCAGGAGAGCTCGAAGCGCACTTGGTCGTTGCCCTGAAACGCAGGCAGGGGACACGTGGGGACAGGCTCTGCCCCGAGCTGGGGGGGGACCCTGGGAAGCAGCCCCTGCCCGCGGGGAAGGACAGGGGTCTGGGGAAAGACACTGCAAAAAATTGGTGGGAGATGCTCGAAAAAGGAGTGGAAAAGGCCAGAGAGGAGCGGGAAGGGGCTCGGATCTGTGCCAGGCAGCGCTTCCCTGGGCTGCGCCTTGGAAAACTCCGCTCGTGCAAAGCAGATCTGCATTTTCACTCCCTTCTAAGGCTTTTAGCTCTGAAACTCCCCAGGGTGTCATTTAAGGTCGCAGCTCCCACCTTCAGCAACAGCCCCACGTGGGGATCCCATCAACCCCACTTTTCCCCCCGCACCCTGAGCGGGAGCAGGGAAGGGGCCCCCACGAGCTGCTCCCATCTCCCCAAGTGCTGCAAGTCCCATCACAGCCCAACAAGCACCCAGAGCAACAAGGGTCATGCAAAAGCAAAGGAAGAGCAGATAAAACCCTCAGCTCGTCATTAAATAGACCTGAACCTCCTTGCTCTTAATTGGCCCCTGCTGGGTGAGCGTCGCTAACGAGGCTGGCTCTGGGAAGAGGGAGAGGATATGGCCTGGGAGTTATTAGCCCTCCCGTGGGAATGGCGCTTTCCAAAGCCGCCTTTGCAGCAGCACCGGGGGACACGGAGACCCATTCCCGGTGTGCAGGATGCATTTAGAGCCGGGCTGAACCCCCATGGGACTATTACGCGCGTGCGGATGTATCCGCTCCGTCCCCTTGCCGCCCAAATCGCGCCCATCTGCTCCCGCCGTGGGGCTGCCCCAGATGGTCGGTGCTTGCGAGGCGGCGGCTCAGCCGGGCGGGCTCGGGTTACCCGCAACCTGCCCCATCCCAGGGCGTAATTCCTCGGAGATGCAGCCGGGGCTGGGAAACCTCCCCATCCACCTCGCGTGTCCTCCTTGCCGGAGGGCTGCCCAGCCTGGCCGAGAGCCTCTCTGGGCACCCAGAGCCCCCCAGGTGGTTTCCCATCCATTGCATCCCAGGGATGTGCAGGAGCTGTTGGGACCAGAGGGGACGAGTGACACCCAGCCCACCCCATCCGCATCCCTAACTCCTCCGAGGGCACCAGCCTTGATCCACCTCCTCCTCCGGGCCGGGATGCTGGCACATCCAGAGGGATGCGCGCTGGGGAGGGCAGAACGGCCACCCTTGCCTTCATCCTGAGCCACTTCCAGGGGAAAGGGAGCGGGAATGGGCCACTCTGCAGGGAGAGCAGGGCTTTGCTCGGGATAAAATGGGAATAAACCAGCGCTTTCGCCATGGACGAGGTTTCTGCGGTCTCCGACTGCCTCTAGTGGCAACCGACGGCAGGGCTGGGGCCAGTGGGGACCCCGCTGTCCGGAGCGCGGGGGGCTGCCGCTCACCTTTCCCGTGGCGCCGTGCGCGACGTACGCGGCTCGCTCGCGCCGGGCGATGCCCACGAGCCGGCGGGCGATGCAGGGCCGCGCCAGCGCCGTGCCCAGCGGGTAGCGCTCCTCGTAGAGCGCGCCCGCCTGCACGGCCGCCCACACGAACTCCTCCACGAACTCCCTGCGCACGTCCTCCACGAAGACCTGCCCGCGCCGAGACGCCACCGTCACCCGTTGCCCCTGGCACCTTCCCGAGTTCGGCTATGTCTTTAAATTGCAATAATAAATGTCACTGCATGAGGAGCGGGAGCAAGAAATCATCCCTTTCCTGCACGACTTTGGTGCAAAACCTCTAAGGAAAGGGTTTCCTCCTTCTCCTCCTCCTCCTTGCCAGGGTTGGGGGTCTGTGCCTTCCCGGGAGACTCCAGCCCTGCAGCAGGAGCAGGGATGCTCAGGGCACCAAGGAGGGAACAGCATTACCTTCTTGGCCCCCAGCGCCAGCGCTTTCTTCCGCGCCTCTGCAAAGTCCTCCTTTTGCCCAATGTTGGCCTGGAAGGGAGGAAAAAATGAAGGAAGGGAGAAAAAACGAGACGGAGATGGCAGGAGGCCCCAGCTGCGCCGGCGAGCGGCGGGTCTCCGGGTGCCAGAGGAACCAGGAACTTCTCACCAGGAAGGCCACCACGGCATAGCCCTGCTCCTTCAGCCACACCAGGATGCAGGAGGTGTCCAGGCCGCCGCTGTAGGCGAGCACCACGGTGCCCTTGGGCTCGGACATGGTGCTGGCGACCGCTCCTGCGGGCACACGGGGGGTCAGCGGAGCAGCCCGGGGCGCCGGCACCAGCGCTACCGAAGGCACCGTCCCCCGGCACCGCGCTGGGCACGCAGGAGTTACCCCCGTGTCCTGGCAATGCAGCCCCGCGGAGCCGGCCGACCCTTGGCCGGGGCCGGGAGGAGCGGAGCCGGCCGGATCCTGCCCCTGTCCCTGCCGAGTCAGCGGGATCCCGCGCCTGTTTTGCAAGCGGGGCCGGCTCCGCGCGCAGCTCCGGTGCCAGGACATGGATGGATTGAGCCAGTCCCCATGAGCCAAACTCACCGCGTCAACGAGGAGCAAAGGGTTGGAGCAGCCTGCAGCGACGGGCACCTCGAGGGCAGTGCTGGTCCTACTGGCACCGGCGCTGGTGCAACCGGCGGCTCCGCACCCCGTGGCACGTGCCCTGTGTGCAGAGCCGGGTGCCGCTTCCCACCTCCGCGGGCGTTTACGGGAAGACAAACCAGTTCCTGAAAGGGGCCAGGCTGTCTGGGACACTGTATCACACCAGGAAAACCCCCTGCTTTCCTCCCAGGACGGATCCCCTCTGTGTCCTGCAGCATCGCTGCTGTGTGCTCGGGTCGTGTGCCATCCACCGGGCAGCAGCGAGGTTTGGGAAAAAAGCTCCATTTCTGCAAAACTTCCATTTGCCCATGGGGAATTTAGCAGGGGGCCCCAAAGCCGAGCTCTGGAGTGAGCCGGGATGATGCTCGTGGGCAGCAGCTCCCTGTGCTCTGCAGTGATGCTGGGACACAAACCACCTTGGGAAGGGCAGGGACGCAGCACCCGGCTCCAGCATTTCCAGCTCTGGAAACAGGGCTGGTGCCACCGCGGCTGCCCAGGAAAGGGAGAGCCGTGAAACGGCAGAGTTACTTGGTAATAAATCAAAGCAAACAGGGCAGCGAATGGGAAGGGCTGGGGACTCTCTGGGCCCTGATTATCATTCTGTCGCAACTTCCTTACGAGCGGGGCAGCTCTTTCCCAGAACAGCCCCATTTGCTCTGCCTGGCCGTAACACTGCGCTTTTGTTGCTAAACCCCAGAAAAGTGAAAGAAGGAAGAGAAAAGCACTTGACGTTTTGGCAAGCAGGGCAGCCGGCTGTGCCGGCCCGGCTGGCAGGGCAGCCCGTGCCCGGCGCGCGCGGCCGCTTCCAGGGGGCTCGGCAGCACCGGGGCTTGTCCTGGGGTTTCTCCCCACCGGCCGCCGCGCAGCCCTGGGTGCCTCCATCCCGTCCCCAGGTTGTGCCAAGGAGGGGACGGGTCCCCCCAGGTGAATGGGCCCCTCTGTGCCCAGCTGTGTGTCCTGGCTCACCCGCCGTGCACAGGGATCTACAGCAAACGGATGGACTTGGTGCAGTCCTGGAGCATCCTCCTCCTCCTCCCTCCTAGCCGGTGCCGGCAGATGGAGCCACGTAGGGTCTGTCCCTGCACATCCCACGCGCTGCCCGCGGCCGGATGCACGCTGGGGCCACACGGATTAGGGGCACGTTGCTCCCTGCAGGTGCTCCCATCACCTGCATCTCTCCTTCCTCTTCCCACCAACATCTTCCCACCAGGAGGAGCGTTGTCCCGGCCAAGCCGCGTGGGAAGAGAGGACGGCTGCAAACTGGGCCCCTTGTGGCCAGAACTGGGGTTTCTGTGGTGTCCCTGAACATCAAGCACCAACTTCAGAAACTATTCAGTCCCCGTCGCAGGGATGGCTCAATAGCGCTGCCCATGTCGTGTCCTGCCACCCTCCCCAGGGCTGGACCCTGCAGCCTTCATCCTCCTCCGAGCCCCAAGGGCATGGCTGGAGCTATGGGGTGGGTGATGGGGGGGTGCAGCCCCTTCTACCCCCCAGAACGGGACCAAAACGGCCTTTGGGGCAGAGCCCCCACCCCAGCCCCACACGCGGTGTCCTCGTCCTGCTGCTGCTGACCGCAGGTCCCCGCACCAGCCTCTGCCTTTTGCTCGCTGGACATTGGCCCGACCGCATTGCCCCATGCAGACAGTCTGCTCCTTGGCTCCAAGGCCGCTCACGAGGTGTCCAAAGCCCGGAGATTAAGGGAAAAAACAGGCTAGCACTGGGGGAGCCATGATGAGGAAACGTGAGCTGCATGAAACCTCTTTCCTCAAACACTGTTATCCACTGTTATCCACTGTTATCCACAAAACACCTTTATTGGGGATAAAACCTAAAATAAATAAGTGTCTATAGAAAAGGAATGTTAAAAGAAAAAATTGAAGGTGAGGATATGAAAATATCACTGAGGGATTAGTGCCCCGCGCTCTCCTGTGTCCCCCCAGTGCCCCTGCAGCCTCCGCATCCGCAGGCACCAGCACGTCCCGTCCAGCGCCACCACCCAGGGCCACGAGGCCGCGCTTCCCGCCGTCCCCAGGCACCCTGTCCCCCTCAGTAGGGGTAGGGCGAGACGGAGACGAGGATGACGAAGAGGCTGCGGGGGCCGCGCGCGCCGAGCGGCAGCGCTTGCACGTGCAGGCGGTGGGTGCCGGGCGCGCGCAGCGGGCGCAGGGTGGACAGGACGGCGCGGCCGCCCTCGTGGCGCAGGGCGAAGGGCGCCGCGGGCTGGCGCCGCAGCAGGCTGAAGGCCACGGTGCCGTTGCGCAGCGCGGCGCCGCGGGCGAAGGCGGCCAAGTGCAGCACGTCGCGCCCGCCCGCGACGCCCCGCGGCAGCGGCAGCAGCTTGTACTGCAGCGTGGAGGCGCTGCCCGGCGCGCAGCCCCGCGCGCAGCGCTGGAAGCACAGCCTGCGCGGGACAAGGGTGGTCGGCGGCGGTGCCGAGCGCGGTCCCGCCTTGGCCCCGCGGGGCGCCCGACTCACCCCGGGCTGGAGCCGCGGCGGTAGCCGGGCGGGCACGGCGCCTCCACGCACTGGGCGCCGCCGCGCGTGTTGAAGCAGAGCTGCCCCGCGCCGCAGCGCCTGCTGCCCTCCAAGCACTCGTCCACGTCTGCGGGCACAGCAGGGGCGGTGGGCAAGGGGCACGGAAGGGGACCTGCCACCCAATGCCCCTCTCTGCTGTCATCACCCCCAGGGCAGAATCGGGTCTTCAAATGCCAGTTCCTCCCTGGCCTATGGATAGGGACATGGGAGCAGCCAGGCTCAGCAGGGGTGCTGGAGCACCTGAAATGCAGGGCCTGAGAATATCCCTTAAGCTCCTCTGCTAGGAAACAGACCCTAGATCTTCAAAGCCCAGCTTGGGCAAGTTCCTGCCTGGCCTATGGACACCCAAGATGCAGAGCCTGGGAATCTCCCTTAAGCTCCTCCGCTAGGAGAAAGACCCTGGGCTGGGCTAAGCACTAAGGGGACAAAACCCAAGTGTCAATAGGGACAGGGTTGGCGCCGAGGAGCAGAGGCCGAGGGAAGGGGCATGCGGCAGCTCCCACTGACCGTGGCAGGTCCTGCCGTTGGGCAGCAGGCGGTACCCGGCCGGGCACGTGCACTGGTAGCTGCCCTCGCTGTTCCTGCACTCGTGCTGGCACTGGTTCAGTATCTGGCACTCGTCGAGGTCTGCGGGGATGAAAAGGTCCCCTCTGGTGCCTGCCCTAGCATGGCCAAGCCCAGAGGTAGGGACAGGAAAGGAAGGGACGGGAAAGGAAGGGATGGGAATAAGGGGCCTGTGCTTCCCAGTGGACTTCCCAACTCCTCTCGGGGCCCCACGCCGGCAGCATCACTGCCGTGCCACGCTCACCGCTGCAGGCGCCGTTCCTCCTGACAAAGCCTGGCGGGCAGGACACGGTCCCCTCGGCGCTGCCGAGGAGCTGTGTGGAGAAGGAGCGGGGCGGGATGCTCGAGGGGCGCGCGGGGGCCCCCGGCTCGCCGCAGGACGTGCCGTCGGGCAGCAGCACCGCGCCAGGCGGGCACAGGCACACGAAGCTGCCCGGCACGTTGCGGCAGGCGAAGGCACAGGGCCGGGGAAGCTGCAGGCACTCGTTCACGTCTGGGGAGGAAAGCGCCGCTGAGGGGCAGCCGGAGCGGGAGAGGGAGGCCGGGAAGCACCCGGCACCCTGGACTTGGCCCCGGCTCGTACCCGAGCACGGCCGCCCAGCGCCCTGCGCGCGGTAGCCGCGAGGACACCTGCAGCGGTAGCTCCCGGGCACGTTCTCGCAGAGCTGCGGGTAGCGGCAGCCGTGGGAGCCCTGCTCGCACTCGTCCACATCTGAACAGGACAGGGGGGACAGGGGATGTCGCCGTGCCAGGGCCAAGGCCCAGCCACCCCTGCACACGCCCTTCCCACACACGTGGATAAGGAGAGACACAACCACGCCAGACAGCCCCGCACAAACCCTTGCAGCCCCCAAGTGTGCTCATCAGGGCCCGGAGCGGTACCAAGACCCTTCACGTGCCCCAGCGCAGAGTGTGTCCCCGCCTCGTGAGGGCAGGACTGTGCACTTCATCTGTCACGGTTGGCTCAAGGCAAGGGCAAAGTCCCCCTACTTCCCGCAGGGCTGCTGTGCTGTCGCACCAGGGACACGTGGAAGGGGACATGGCCCCGAAGGGGACCCCCAGAGCCAGCACAGCCCCGCGCCCCGGGGAAGGGTCGGTACCGGTGCAGTAGAGCTCCTCAGCACCCAGGACGAATCCCGCCGGACACTGGTCCCCGCCAGGCTCTGGAAGCGAGCGGAGAGCGCGGGGCGATGCGTTGCTCCGCACACGGAGCGCGCTGCCCTCCCGGCCGCCCCGCGGAGACGCTACCTGCGCGGAGCGCGGCGCGGAGCTGGAAGCGCAGCTCCCCGGCGGGCGCGTCGAAGGCGGCGGCGAGCGCGCGGGCCCGCACGTGCTGCACGAGCCGCGGCACCCGCCGGCCCTGCACCGCCTCGTACGCGATGGAGTGGGTGCAGCGCGCCCGCGCAATGAGTCCCCCCTGCACGAAGCTCTGCACCGCCTCGCCGTGCAGCTGCCCCGGGCCCGTCTGCACGTAGCGCTCGTTGAAATCCTGCGGGAAGAGCGGGATGCAGCGTAGAGCAGGGCCCGGGAGAGCTGGGGGCTCCCAGGATGGGAGTCCCCTCGTGGCGGTGAGGACGAGGAGGAGGTGGCAGCACCTGCAGCTGCAGCACCCCAGCCTCAGCAAGGCGCTCGGGCACGGAGCCGCTGACGACGCTGTCGAGCAGCAGAGCGCCGGTGCCGTCCAAGCCATGGGCAGCGTGCGTGATGTGCAGGAGCTCCCCTACCGGGCGGGACACACTAAGGATGACATCCCCACAAGACACACAACCCTCCAGGAGAGCGTGGCGCTGAGCCCACGGGGATGGGTGGCACGGGGGACACGAAGGCTAAGCCATCCACGATCAGTGCAAGAGCCCCCAAACCTCCTGTTTGTGCTTGCAAGGGAGCTAGTGGAGAGAGCACCCACGCATGCAGGCACCTGCCCATGACCCGCGTTTGCTGGGCTCATGCCACGTGCCAACCACTTCCGCCCCCAATATTTGGGACGTCACCAGACCAGGGACACGGCCATCGGCATCTCCCAAAGCCACCAGCTCAAGTGCCTGGGGCTGCCTCGGCACTGCGGTGGCCCCGTGCCCCTCACCTGTAGCAAACTCCACCTGTGACTCCTGCCTGAAGGTGCCCTGGGTCAGCAGGAAGCCGCTGTGGGTGTCCCCGCCAACGAAGGACCAGTACACAGGGGCCACGATGGCCACGAGCACCCGCATCAGCGGCCCTGGGAGCAGGAGCCAACGCGAGGCATCAACACGGAGCTGGTAGCCTCCCAAGAAGACCCCATCATGCCCTCAGCTCCAGGAAGGAGGGGGGACCCGGGCGGCCACCACGTACCCACGGCAGGCGGGATGCCCCGGATGCTGCTGCGCACGTCGGCCGTGCCGGTGTGGGGATCCTCCAGCACGCTGGCGTTGAGAGCAGCAACCCCAAACTCCTGGGCGTTGATGATGCCGACCAGGCTGCCCCGCACGTGGCGCGGCTCTGCTGGGGAAACAGCGGCCTGAAAGCCACCCGCGGGAGCTGCGAGCAGCAGGGGCCAGGACGCAGCATCCCTGCCAGAGCATTCCTAGCGGGGAGCATCTCGAGGCAGGGGAGCATCCCTGGGTGGGAGAGCATCCCTGATAGAGTATCGCTGCCAGAGCATCCCTAGTGGGGAGCATCCCTTAGTGGGAGAGCATCCCTCCAGAGCATCCCTGGGTGGGGGAACACACTTAGGTGGGGGATCATCTCTGTCAGAGCATCCCCGGGTGGGAGAGCATCCCTAGGTAGGAGAGCATCCCTGCCAGAGTATCTCTAGGGGTGAGCATCCCCCCACACCTGCAAGCACAGCCCCACACCTGGTGGCTCTGTGCTCACCCTCCAGCAAAGGCACAAGGCTCCAGGTGCTTCTCCCTGCAGCAGCAACAACGCTGCCATCCAGGAGAGCTTAACGCAGTACATGGTACAGAAAAGAAGCACGGAGAGGATGGGGGAACCTCAGCCCTGCTAATTCCCAAAACTCCCTCGGGACTGTGAGGAAGACACCGACCTCTCACAGTGAGGAAGACACCCACCTGTGACGGTGAGGAAGGCCTGGGCGAGGTCGGAGCCGAGCGGGTTGCTCGCGTGGCAGGCGTAGCCGCCGGCGTCGCCGGGGCGCGCGGCGCCGATGAGCAGCGTGCCGTTAGGCAGCACGTGGGCGCGCGGGCCGTCCCGCAGCGCCGCGCCACTGCAGCGACGGCGCGGGCTGCCCGCGCGCCTCGCAGTGCAGCAGCACCCGCTGCCCTGCGCCCACCGCCGCCGCGCGCGGACGCACCTGCACCCGCGGCGCGCCTGCGGAGACACACGAGCCGGCCCCGCGATGCAGGAACTGTGCACACGGCCCAAACCCCTGCCCGCGTTGTGCTCCTCCATCTCCTCCCCTCTCCGTTCTCGGCCAACCCCCCTCTTTTGGCGTCTCCATCCCGATCAGCCGGGAAGGTGTATGGATCTAAAACACTCCTTTCCCCACAAACAAGGGTGCAAAAGGGGTGCACTCACTCTGCAGCACCAGCATGATGAGCTTGGCAGCTGAGCCCACCTCATTCTCCGCCACGCACCGGTACTGCCCCGCATCAGAGTCCTGGGGGGGTTGATGCAGGTGTCAACAGGGGGGCCTGCCTTGTCCCCCACGGGAACAGAGGGACCCCAAAGAAGTCAGCAGCACAAGACCTGAGCCCCATCAGAGCCCCAACGGAGCTCGTGCCCCACAGAGCTGGCCGGCCCCGCAGCGCTGCCCCACTCACCGCAGTGCCGCGGATGAGCAGGGAGCCGTTGTGCAGCTGGCGCAGGCGGTGCCCGGGCGCCAGCGGGACCCCGTCCTTGCTCCAGCGCACCAGGGGCTCCGGGTAGCCCTGGGCCTCGCACTGCAGCAGGGCCTGGGCCCCGACGGGCTCCGTCTGCAAGGCGCTGGGCTCCCCTTGCACGACGGGCGCCGCTGGGGAAGGCGGAGGGTGGCAGAGCGCCGGGGGCAGCCGCGCGGCACCGTGCGCCCTGCTGAGCGCCTACCTCGCACGCGGACCTCGCTGGCAGTGCTGATGGCGCCGGCGCTGTTCTGGGCCCGGCACTCATAGGTGCCGCTGGCCGCCGCGGTGACGCCGTCCCGCTGCAGTGTGCTCCGGCCGCCCTGCTCCCGCACGCCCGCTGCAACGAGAAGACAGCATCAGGGCACGGAGCAGCCTGCTGTATCCCTGCACATGGTCCCAACAAGGTGGGAAAAGGCAGGGAGGGGACCCGGAGCGACGCGGTCCCTTTGGGATAGCGGGCTCTCCAGCACCCTCCTCCCGCAGCCCTGCCCAGGCACCGGTGACGGGCTGCCCGTTGGCCGTCCAGGTGAGCCGGGGCGCGGGGTTGCCCTGGGCGGCACAGAGCAGCTCCAGCCGCTCGCCGCCGCTCAGCACGATGTCCCGGGGCCGCTCGGTGAAGACGGGCAGGGTGTGCACGGAGAGCAGGAGCTGGCGGGCAGCTTTCCCGGCTGAGTTTGCTGCCGTGCAGGAGTAGCTGCCCGCATCCGCTTCCTGCAGAGGAGAGCGGGCAGGAGCAAAGCAGGGTCCCTCACCTTAGAGTGCATCAGCCTGCCTGCATCACCTGGGATGCTGCATGGGGCTCAGATGCCTCCAAAAACTGCAAGTAGGCCCCAGTGCCAAGTGAGAGCAGACCTTGCCAGCCCCGACCCCACAGGACACAGGGTGGTCTAGACCTTCTCCTTGCTCGCCCAAGCATCTCGCAGGCGCGCTGGCCTTTGCAGCACGCGGGGCTGCGGGAGGCCGTGCCGGCACCGCGCTCACCTGCACGTCCCGGAGCAGCAGCTCGCCGGAGGGCAGCACGGCGGCCTTGGAGCCCTGCACCGGGGCTCCCTCTCTGCTCCAGGACACGCGGGGCTCGGGGGTGCCGCGGGCCACGCAGGGCAGCCGGGCGTCGCGTCCCTGCAGCACGGCCAGCTCGGCGGGGCCGGGCGCGATGGCCGGGGGCACTGCGAGGGGTGGCAGCAGCTGCAGGGGGCTGTGCTCCCAGCCCTGAGCAGCCTCCGTGCCAGCGGTGCCGCCCGTGCAGCCCCAGGCAGCGCCTGCAGCGGCGTTGCAGCCTCACCTTGCACGATGAGCCTGGTCCGCCCCGACGCGGCGCCCGAGGGGTTCTGCGCCATGCACACGTAGACACCAGCATCCTCCTCGGAGGCACGCGGGATGTGCAGGATGTGCCCCAACCCAGGCCCTGCCAGGGGACAGCACCGGTGAGGGCCAGGACAGAGCAAGACCAGGACTCCACCATGCTCATTCCAGCTCCACGAGGGCTTTGTGAGGACCTCACCTTTGGGGACAGGGACACCCTCTTTCTGCCAGGTGACAGTCGGCGGAGGGACGCCGCTGGCCTCGCAGGGCAGCGCCGCGCTGGTGTTGATCATCACCATCACCATGCCGGGCAGGGGCTTCAGCACAGGGGGCTCTGCAGTGGAGGGAAGCGGGGGGACACGCTGCCGAGGCCCGTTCCCATCCCCATAGCGGCCCTGGCGCGGCGCACGTACCGTGCACGGTGAGCAGGAGGTGCTTGTGCGCGGCGCCGGCGGCGTTCCTTGCCGTGCACGTGTAGCGGCCGGCGTGCGCGGGCAGCGCCCGATGGATCTGCAAGGCGCCTGGCGAGAGGGCGAGCGGACGGGAGGCAGGAGGAGCCAGCGGGGGCACCAGGCACCCGCGCCGCCGCGGCCGCCCGTACCTGTGTGCAGGACGCGGTAGCCGCCGCCGCGCTGCGCCAGCGCCGCCCCGTCCTTGCTCCAGGACAGCGCCGGCGGGGGCACGCCGGCAGCGTAGCACGTGAGCACGGCAGGGGACAGCCGGGTGACCGCCACCTCCGTGACATCGTCAGCGATGCTGGGGGGCACTGGGGAGGGCGGTGGGACGGGGCGCTGAGAGGGGCCAGGCAGGGCAGAGCTGCTCCAGAGCATCGCCCTGCATGCACCGATCTCCCCTCTTGCTCGGCCCCGTCCTGCACCCATGAGATCCCCCATGCCCAGCGCGACACCTTATCCCAGGGAGCTCACCATGGACAGACACGAAGAAGCGCTTGCGGGCCTCGCCGGCGGCGCTGGCAGCCACGCACTCGAAGGTGCCCTGGTCCTGCAGGCCGGGGCTGGCGAGCAGCAGCGAGCCCGAGGGCTGCAGCCTGCGGCGGGGAGAGCGCGGCGGCGGTGGCCCGGGCAGTGGGCGCACGGAGCACACCGGGACGCACGGAGCACACCGGGAGCGGCCACGGGCGCCGCTGGGGCTGCGGTACCTGTAGGCGCCGGGCGGGACATGCGGGGTCAGGGCACGGCCGTTCTTGGCCCAGGTGACGCGGGGCTCGGGGAAGCCGGTGGCTTCGCAGGGCAGCGTGGCCGGCTGCTGCGCCACCACGGTGACGTTGGAGGGTCCGGGGGCGATGGCAGGAGGGACTGCGGAGAAGCACGCAGAATATGATCGGTCGGGAGCCGCCACACATTAGCAAACCAGGGACAATGGTGCCTCGGTGCAAGCATGCAAGGGGCTTGCAGGGAGGGAGGCAGCTGGACTTTGAGCAGCCCCTGAGCCCCCAACACGGGGCTGGCTCCTCCACCTACCCAGCATGTGCAGGTCGAGGCCTCGGCGGGCAGAACCAGCAAGGCTGGAGGCCACGCACAGGTAGTGGCCTGAGTCCTGAGCCCAAACGGGGTCTATGCGCAGGGAGCCCCCCGGCAGCTGCCGCAGCCTATTGGAAAGACATGAGCCCTGTAACGCCCGTCGGGCTCCTCCACGGCCAAGCTACATCCCGCTCCTGGCGCCTCCAGCACCCACGGGCGTGGAGGCTGCCTGGCCGAGGGCTCTCGGCTGCTGCAGAGCCCCGTACCTGCTGCTCCCGGGGAGAGGCAGGAGCTGCCCGTCCTTCCTCCACGTCACCTGCGGCACGGGCCACCCCTGTGCCGGACAGGGCAGCACGGCCACGCTGTTCACAGGCACGCTCAGCTCCTCGGGGCCGGGCTGGATCCCTGGGGGCACTGCGGCAGCGCCAGGGACACAGGGACAACAGCTAGAAACAGAGCTCGAGGGAGGAGGAAATCCAGAGCAGCCCCGAGGCTGGGCAGCGCCCGACTCCCCTTTCCTCTTATCCCATTATAGTATCCTTGGGGACCCCAAAGCAGCATGCAGTGCAGTAAGGAAGGTGGATCGGGCTAGTGCCAGCCAGGAACGGCCCTGGCGCATTGCTGCTCACCGTGAACATCCACGTGGAAGTGCAGGCTGGTGCTGCCCAGCGCGTTGCTGGCCGTGCAGCTGTAGTGGCCGCTGTCCGTGCGCAGCGGCGCCGCGAGCCGCAGGAAGCGCCCGCCGTCCAGCAGCCGCACGCGGGCATCCCCCTGGCAGCCCCGCGAGCCCCGTGAGCCGCGCCGGGCCCGGCGCCCGCCCGTCCACCGGCAATAGCAGCCCGCGCGCGCTCCTACCCGCAGCGGGGAGCCCTGCCGCTGCCAGTGCACACGCGCGGGTGGCACCACAGCCACCGGGCACTCCAGCGTGAGCGGCTCTCCTGCCAGCACTGTGAGGTTGAGGGTGTCTCCGGCGCCCGTGATGCTGGGCGGTGCTGTGGGACACATGGGACACCCTGTTCTAGCTGGGCATGGTTCCTGCTTTGCCCCACATTCACTCCCGCATATACCAGCTCACCAGCACCCCAACTGTCCTACCCCCTCGGGCTCCGTCCCTCTCACCCTTGTCTCCGGGGGTGGCAGTACCTTGGACCTGGACACGGAAGGTGCCGCTGTCCTCGCCGGCAGGACTGGTGGCCAGGCAGGTGTACGAGCCAGCGTCGGCCACCTGCCAGAGACCCAGAGGTGGAAAATGGATGGAAACCCGCTGAAGGTGAAAGGAAAAGGCGAGTGGGGAGACGGGACAAGACCTCGGCACGTTCTATCCGCAGGCTGCTCTCATTCCCTGCCACGAGCTGGGGTCCGGCGAGCAGCCGCCCATCCTTCTCCCAGGTGACGGTGGGCACGGGGACACCCGTCACCAGGCACGTCAGCTCCAGCGGGGCCCCCACGGTGAGGAGCACCTCAGCCATGTGCGCTGGGACCTCGACCTGGGGCGGCTCTGCAGGGCACGGGGTGCGCGGTGAGGGGCTTGCACCCACCGGCTGCCCGCCAAGGCTCTCGGGAGGACACGCACCCATCACCACGAGGCGGAAGCGCTGGCTGGCTTCGCCCGCCTCGTTCGTGGCCAGGCAGGAGTAAACTCCAGCGTCCGCCAGCGCCACCGCCCCCAGACGCAGCCGCGAGCTCGTGCCGTTGCCCCCCGGCGCCAGGGGCTCCCCGTCCTTGAGCCAGCTCAGCACCGGTGCCGGCGAGCCGCTGGCGTCGCAGGTGAAGGTCACCTCGGCGCCCGCCGTCACCACCTGCTCCTCGCTGCTCTCGGGGGTCACCTCCAGCATGGGGGGCACTGGGGAGGGAGCGGGATGTGTTAGGGGATGGGGAAGCAAATCTGGGTCCTTAACCTCAGGATGCTTGCAGGGGGTTGGGGAGCCCCTGGAGCAGGTCGACCTCCTCTAGAGGGTGACTCTCCATGAGAAGGAGGAGTTGTGACCATCTCAGCTCCCTTCCTCCTCTCCCTTTGAGCTGCAGCATACAAAAGACCACCCCAATGCCCAGCAGCATACATGGGGCTATGGACTGGCGCTATGCTCTGCAAGGAGCACTAATCCTACGAGCTCGTGCAGCCGCGGCCACCCACCCCCCTGCTCTGCTCACGTGGTAGACCCCCAAATCCCAGCTCCCACGTACCCTGGACGTGCAGGACAAAGCTGCGGTTGGCCACGCCAGCCTCGTTGGCAGCCACGCAGGTGTAGAGCCCAGCGTCAGACATCTGCACCGGGGAGATCCTACACAGCGAGCGGCAGCATAGGAGACGAGGAAGAGGAGGAGCCATCAGTCCCACGCATCCCTCCTGCTCCTTGCAGCCTTCAGCACGGCCGGGCACGGAGATCCCTCAAGATCCACGCACACGGACGAGCTTTCCGCTTACCGGAGCGCGCGCCCGGCCAAGAGCAGGCGCACACGGGTGGAAAGGCCGAGGGGCAGCCCGTCCTTGAGCCAGCTCAGCTGCAGGGGCCCAGAGCCCCGCGCCCGGCATTCCAGAGTCACCAGGGCCCCCGGGATGCTGTGGAGCAGCTCCCCTGCGCCGCCGCTCTCGATGGATGGGGGAACTGGGGGGGAAAAGGGAGTGAAGGGGCTGCAGCGGGGCAGAGCCCCACGCCCCGGCCCCACTCACCCAGCACGCTCAGTGTGTGCAGCCGCGTGTCCTCACCGGCCCCGTTTTGGGCCAGGCAGGTGTAAGCGCCTGCGTCGGCGGCCTGGAGCCCCTCGAGGAGCAGGGAGCTGCCGTCCGGAGCCAGGCTGCACGAGGAGCCCGGGGCAGTGAGCACGGGGATGCTCCACGGTCACCCAGGTGGGTGCCACGCGCAGTGGATGCAGCGGCGCTGGGCACCCACAGCAGATTTCAGCGCAGTCCCCATCCAGGCTGGCCCCGTGGGGACTCACCGGGCGCGCGATGGGGGCTGCAGCCCCAGGGGCTGGCCGTCCTTCAGCCAGGTGACCTGTGGTGGGGGCTGCCCCTCAGCCCAGCACTCCAGCGTCACCCTGCTGCCCTCCAGCGCGCTGCGCTCGCTGGGCGCCTCCGCACTCGTGATCCGGGGAGCCACTGCACGGGGAAGAGAATAAGGAAGAGGAGGATGAGGAGGAAGGCTCCCCAGGCCACGTGCCCCTGTGACTGGGGGGTCTCCTGGGGCCGCTGGCTGTCGTGCCAAGCCCTACCTCGCACCAGCACCAGGAAGTCCTTGCGCACCTCGGCGCCGCGGCCGCGTGCCACGCACGTGTAGCGGCCCTCATGGAAGGGCTGCAAGGGGCCGAGCTGCAGCTGAGGCCCCCGCGCCACCAGGCCCTGCTCCGGGATGCTCTCTGCAAGGGGACAGGGCAAGGGGGACGGGGGCTGCAGCGGCTCTGCCCCACCGAGCCCTCCCCAGGACCCCCTGGCCCCAAGACCCAGGCAGGAGGAGAGGTGAAAGCTGGGGCTGCGTGGAGGCAGCGTGTCTGCACTGCACCTCTCCGGGGCTTCAAGGGCATGAGCCACCAATGTGGGGGCAGAGGCCACTGCTCAGTGTCCAGAGAGCTGCCTGCACCCACACCCCTTCCTTCACCCACCCAAATCAGGGGCTGCTGTCTCCCCTTTGGATTACAAATAGGGAAACTGAGGCAGGGTGGCGAGATGAGAGCCCACGGCAGCCCTGGCCCGTACCCAGCGGCCGCCCGTCCTTCAGCCAGGTGACGAAGGGCATGGGCTCGCCGGCGACGTCACAGCTGAGGGTGAGGGGGGTCCCCACGGCCGCGTCGAGCGTCTCCTGCTGCGCGTCCTCGATGCCCGGGGGTGCTGCGGGAAGGAGCAAGCCACAGCGCTGGGGGCTGCAAGGTGGGGACAGCATCGCGCTGTCCTGGCATGCAGCAGCCTCCGCCGCGGCCACGAATCCAGCTGCATCCCAGCTCCCAGCGCAGCGGGAGCATCTCCATCCCCACACAGCAGCGGCTGGTGCATATAGCTATGTATACATAGTCCTGGCTTTCTGTGCCCACCTTGGACCATGAGCACAAAGGTCTGCGCCGCCTCTCCCATGGGGCCAGCCACCCGGCAGCCGTAAAGTCCTTCGTCAGAGGCCTGGCGGAGGGAAGGGGATGCAGTCGACCCGCGGAGGGAAGGGGATGCAGTTTGACCCATCAAGGGTAGAGCAAGGGGGACACCCCTTGCAGGGCGGCTTTACCTGCACATTTCCTATCTCCAGCCTGCGCCCTGTTGTCAGGATGCGGCCGCTGTCCCCTGCCACAAGCTCCTGCCCGTCCCTGTACCAGGTGACGGCGGCTGCCGGCTGCTCCTCGAGGCTGCAGCGCAGGACGGCTGTGTCCCCGGCTTGCGCCGTCAACGGCGGCGCCCGCGCCTCGGCCGGCGGAGCTGAGGGAGCGGGGGACAAGGGGACATGCGTGGGGACCTGTGGCCACACTTGCAGCCAAGGCCTTTGGAGTCAGTCATTGGAGATAGGGAAGGCGGGGAAGACGTGGTAGGTAGGTAGGGGAGATGACAGCACCCGCACAGGTTGGGCTGCCGGCCAAGGGCCACCGCTTACCCTGCACAGTGAGGACCAAGAGCTTCTCGTCCCTGCCAGCTGCGTTCAGAGCCACGCACCTGTATATGCCTGTACTGGAAAGCTGCACGCGTGGGATCTGCAGGGTGTGCGAGCCTGGGAGAAGCCAAAGCAGCAAGTCAGTGTGGGCAGGAGCCAGGCGCAAGCCCAAGACACTGAGTTCATGGACCAGCGCTTCCCCCCACTGCCTGCAACCAGCTCCAAGCAGCAGCAGGCACCCGGAGCCAAAGTCTCTTGTTGAGGTTCAAGGCCTTGGCATACACTGCACTGGGAGGTGCACGGGGTACTTCTGAGGATGCTCCTAGGGATGCTCCTGGGGAGCATCAACTGGGAGCCTGCAGGATGACACCTCCTGGAACAGGAGGATGGCTTGGAGCAGGTAGTTAGCACGTGGCTACATCTGTACGTCATAGCTCAGGAGTCCCATGCGCAGCATCCAGAAGGGGCTGGTTGGGCAAGTTAGAGTCCTTGCTGTAGGGATGGCAGTTGGGCTGGGTCCTGCGGGACTCGCCTGGACCTACCTGGGGTGATGAACGCTTCCTCACCAAGGTCCAGGACGCGGCCATCCTTGTACCAAGTGATCTCCACGTCCACATGGGAGCGGACGTTGCACGTCAGTGAGACGCTGCCGCCGACAACACCATCAACACGTTCAGGGTTTGCCCCCACGATCTGGGGTGGTTCTGCTCCGGCCCACCCCAAAAAGAGAATTGCAAAAGGTGAGCGTCACTGCCGAGGCCAAGCTCGCACATGCAGCACCAAGCACGCTCCTCAGCAAGGAGGAGAGCCAGGGTATAATGAGGGAGCTCAGAGGCTGGAAGAGCATCCAAGTGCAAGCAGAGCATGGGTGGAAAGAGGAGAAACCCAACTACCAGGTAACCCCAGAGGAAAGCAGTCTCCCAGTTCACTGTCATGTCTGGAAAAGCAAATATCTGTCCCCTGCTTTCTTCAAATGAGACCCATGGTGTTCACACACTAAGCAAGCCCCTATCCTGCTCCACAGGCATCCCAAGAGTTTGGGGTACACAGCAGGGCTTTACACAGCAGCGTTGGCCCGAGTGCTCCTGCCAAAACACCGTGAGGAACAGACATGTGCCAAGATAAGATCAGAGCCCTACCCATCGCTGCAGGAGCCCCGAGGGCAGCAGCGGGCACAGCATGGGCTTCGCGAGCAGAATTTGCTTTGCCCTCTGGAGCAAAGCATCTAAGCAACCCCGCAGTCACCTTGCCAGCCTCAACGTCACCCATGGCTCTTTGGCCGCTTGCTTGTGGGTCCCTGCACCTTGACCTGCTGCTGTGGCACGTGGAGGAAGAGTGGGAGGTGCAGGGGGATGAAGGTAGCCAAGCAGGCCAGGAGCCACGTGAGCTCCACCGTGGCTCTGGCAAAGGTTTGGGCTGGCAGAGAAGGAGGTGAGATGGAACAGTGATCCACGGATGGCCCAGAGCACTCACCCCGCACGCCGAGGGCAAAGTGCTTCTCGGCAGAGCCGGCTGGGTTCTCGGCCACGCACGTGTAGTTGCCCTCGTCGCCCACCTCCACCGCAGTCACCTGCAAAGAAGCAGAGCCCTGAGGAGGTCCATGGGGCTCCACACAAGCTGAGGAGCTGCCAAGGCTTCCCTGGGGAGACACATGCTCTGCCAGGGAGAACAAGGTGCCCTTCGGCCATGGAGATGCTGACCTGCAGGACCTCACCATCCATCAGGATCTGGTGCCGCAGGCCAGCAACAACGGGGACATCATTCCAGAGCCAGGAAACCGCGGGTTCTGGGTTCCCCATGGCTTCGCATTTCAGGCGGATGGTGCTGTTGGCTGCGGCGGTCACCTCCTCCATATGGTCCTCCATGCTCCCATGGATGATGGGGGCAGCTGTGCCCCCAGGAAACAGAAAGTTATAGGGGTGCCAGCTGAGCGCGCAGCGGCTGATGCTCGCCCCATACTCACTGAGCACCTCCAGCTCGTAGTGCATCCTGTCCTCCCCGGCGTCGTTGGCCGCCTCGCACGTGTACCGGCCCGCGTCCTCCTCGCGCACAGCGGGCAGCTGCAGCACCCGGCCCCCTGTGTGCACGGGAGCCGTGGGGCAGGGACCTCAGGGAGCAGCGTGCACCCCACACCCTTATGCAGCCCTGGTCACAGCGTCCTGACGTGCTGGTGGGAGCTTGGGAGCAGCATCTACCCGCACCGTGCGTTATGGGTGCTCTACCCCATGGCTCCAGGAAACCTCCCCATGAGAGCCCCGTCACTCTAAGGCATGCAGACATCCATGCCCCTTACCGAGCAGTATCAGCACTTCCTGGCTGGAGGAGAGGGGCTCCCCGTCCTTGTACCAGGTGAGCCGGGGAGGCGGGACGGCACTGGTGTCGCAGTAGAGCACGGCCGGGTTATTGAGCACAGCCTGCCGGTGCTCCACCACCTCGCCGTCCTCATCTTCCTCTCTGTAGAGGATCTCAAAGGCCTCGTTGGCGCTCCCTGGCCTCTGGAACAGCGGTGGCACTGCAGGAACAGCACGGTGCTGAGTGGCAGAGAAGGGACACCTGCATCCCCTCAGGTGCAACCAGAGCACATGGCTGAGGTCTAATGAGATACCATTTCCCAGCAGACAAGAGCCTTCCTCCTGATTCCATTGATCTTCTCCCATGAGGGGCTCAACTAAGGACCTCTCATGCCAACACATCCACTCCTCCAGGCACAGGACGGCCAGCTGGGACTCATTTCCCATTTCAACTCACCTTGGATGCGCACGCTGAAGTCCTTGTCATCTTCACCCACGGCATTGGTAGCCACGCAGGTGTAGTGCCCTGAATCAGAGACACTGGCTGGTTTGATCTGAAGGATCTGCCCCTCGCTGAGGATCTGGAGGTGGCCAGTGCTTTCTAGGAGCTGGTGGAGGAATCCCAGCCCCAAAGGGGGATGGAAAAAGAAAAGAAAAAAGAAGGGAGGAGGATTACACACTAGGTCTGAAGTATCCAAAAGCAGGACAGAGTCCACCCAGATATCATTTCTCCTGCCTCCATCCACCTGGCAGTTTCCAGACTGTGCAGCTTCTCCCTGCCTGTGGTCGGGGTCTCACCTGCCCATCCTTGTACCACTGGATGGTGGGCTCGGGCACAGCCCAAGATTCGCACTCCAGGGTTACGGTGCTGTTGACCTTGGTTTTCACTTCTGTCACAGCAAATTCCCCGTAAGGGTCATCTTTGGTAATCCAGGGAGGAACTGGTAAGGAGACATGGCATGGCTGGGGTGAGAGAATAGTCCTCTACTGCCCTTGCTCTGCCCTAATCCAACAGCCACTCTGACGACCAGAGTAGCAGGACGGGTTACAGCAGTAACCGGACACCCCACACGGTAATCTCTGCCCTCCTCAGAGCTAGACCAGAGGCTTTTTGAGGCCACGTGCTAACAGAGATGGCACCAACTGCAAGGAGAAAGGTGGTAGTGCAGTGGCCCAGGGCGAGACATCTGGAAGGGAAGAACAGGGCAGTGACATGGGCTACAGCTGTAGGGCTACAGATTCATGCAGGACGTGGAAAGCTTACAGACCCAGGACTTTCAGAGTGTAGTTCTTCACAGCCTCCCCAGCCTCGTTGGTCACGATGCAACTGTATGTGCCTGCATCCTCTTCATGGGCATTCAGGATCTGCAGCCCGTGGCCACCTGGTTGAAGAAGTCACCTAGAGCCACTCTAGAGCATGGCCAGACCCAGAAGAGGCTCTGTTCCCATCCCTGGCTCATACAGCAGTGGCACAGAGCCACCAATGTAGTACCAGGGAGCAGATGGACATTTCTAGAGGCTTCGAGGGGAATCTCGTCCTTGAGCCAGGTGATGTTGGGAGACGGGTAGGACAGAGCCTCGCAGATGAGGGAGATGGGGTTGTTGATGATCACAGTAACGTCTTCTGTGCTGGTATCATGGGCCTCTCCAGGAAAAACAGGGCCAGCTGCAGGGATAGACACTTGATGGTGTTGCAGAGTTTGCATAAACACCCGTTTAGACATTCTGTTCCTTCAGACCTCTATCTGAGAACATGACAAAGTCCAGGGAGTCTGAATTGACCACAGCATGCAAAACAGACAACACGCACAGCCACAAGCCCAGCTTCAGCAGAGGTTGCCCTTGTTGTTGCCTTTGGGAAACCCAGGGAAGGTAGCAGAAGAGGTGCTCCCCATTCCCACCAGCCACCACCAGAAGTGGGCCCTGGACTAGAGGTCCTCTTGGGTCCCTTGTGTCCCTTCACACAAGTCTTATAAGGGTTTTGTACCTGGCCCAGGACCTCATTTCATGCTGTAGGCTGTAAGGCCTAGAGATCTTCACCACCTACTGGGACAGGCTCTTAAAAAGCCCTCTAAGGTCCACATACCCCACTCACACCCAACACATTGCCTTTATCCAAAAGCATCTCGTACCCAGAACATCCAACACGTAGTGCTTGGTCTGATTTGCCACAGAATTGGAGGCCACGCAGGCGTAGCGGCCAGCATCAGAGAGGGCGCTCTGGGTGATGTGCAGGATGGAGCCATCAGGGGAGATGGAGTAGGTGTCTCCACTAGCCACAGGATGACCATCTTTCAGCCAGGTGATCTGCGGCTGGGGGTGGCCTGTGCAGAATGGGAAGCAGGTTTTTCAGCCCTTGTGCCACATTTTTATGAGTCTGCACACAGGCTGGGTGGGGTCACTGAGCTGGTGCTCTGCAGCCCTGGTGGGAGGAAGGGGCAGAAGCCCAAATCCAGAATTACCACAATCTGGATTGGGTTTTAGAGGCTGATGGATGAGCCAGTGGGAGAAAACTGTCCTGAGTAGGAGGTGATTAATTACTCCCACAGCCAGAGGAGAAATCAGATTATAGGAATTGTAGCTCCGTTTGGGAAAGATTGAAGTTTATGTCCTTGAACAAGCTCCCAGTGCGGGCGCCCTCCCCTGCATCCAAAGCTCTTCCCACACTGCCCAATTACAAAGCCAGGAACTATCTTAGCCATTTGTATGTCATCCATTGGAACGGATGCTTAGGAGGCCTCTGGAAAGATGAATAGCTCCACGCGGAGCACTGTCCATTTGCTCCATGCACCAAAGGGACTTAGCTGAGCTGCTTCCCAGCCCCTTCTCCAGCCTGTGCTTATGTCCCACTCCTCCGCACAGCGCTCACCTGTAGCCAGGCAGGACCAGGTGATGGGGTGGCCCTCAGGCACTTTGGTGCTTTCTTCCTCATCTGCACTCTCTATGATGGGAGGAACTAGGAACACAAGTCATCAGGAGCTTGGCTAGGTCTAGCAGGAGCCTCTTAGCTCACATGCTAAGGCATGAAAGACTCGGGACCGCAGCTCCCAACAACTTGCCAAGTTAAACTTAGCCTGTCTGTGCAAGGGGGGTCCTCTCCTTACCGAGGACCTCCACGTGGAAATCTCTCCTGGCCTCCCCAGCCACGTTACTGGCCAGGCAGGAGTAGAGGCCTCCGTCCTGGGCTCGCACGCGAGTGATCCTCAGCATCCAGCCCCCTGGAAACGGGAAGATAAGAGGTCTCAAGGTATCTACTCATCCTAGCAGTGCTCCTGCATCTAAACCCATTGGGTCCTCTCCAGGTCCAGCTCTCACAGCTCACCTGAGAGCACACGTGTGTGCTCGCTGGGGATGACAGGAGAGCTCTTCCAGAACCAGGTGACCACAGGTAGGGGATTACCAGAGGCCTCGCAGGTCAGGGTCAGGGCTCCATGAAGAGACACGCTGATGTTGGGTTTTGACCCTGGTCCTTGAATGAACTCGGGAGGAACTGGAGGGACAAGGAAGGATGAACATCCATTTGCAAAGCAGCCTCCAAGAGAACAGAGGAGCAAGGCAAAGGGCAAGGGAAACTGAGAAACCTACTTGCTCCCATCCTCATGCTTGCATAGTTTGAGGACAAAAGTCCAGAAAGACCTTTACCATCTCTGGAGGCTGTAGACTTCAGAGATGCTATGGGACAGTGACCCAGAGCAGGTAGGTACCATGGATCTGCCAGCCTAAGCTTACAGGTGTAACACAAACAGCGACATGCCCTGAGCAGCCTCACTCATTTTCCAGCTCAGGACCCATCAGATTTCCCCCAGGTCCTTGGAAAGTGGTTGATTTCGGAAGCCACAAGGCAATCTTCTCTACTGACACCAGAATAAATAAACAAACAAATAAATCTACCATGGTTGAGGAAGCTACTTGTACCACTGTGTTCCCTGGACCTTCTCCCTGCTGTTCAAAGGTCATCCTGCCTATCAGCTTCTTGTCCGTGCTTGTGCTCCACCAGATGTGCAGTGGAGCATCCCAAGCCTTGCCTGCATCCTTACCGTGCACGGCCACGTCGAACTCCCTCTCATCCTGCCCCACCGCGTTCTTGGCCAGGCACGTGTAGCGCCCCGAGTGGGCGACCTCCGCCTTGGGGATGCGCAGCCGCTTGCCCTGCTTGGTGAGGAGGAGCCCGTCCCTGCTCGCCACGGGCTGCCCGTCTTTCACCCACGTCACCGTGGGCGGTGGCGTTCCCACAGCCTCGCACTCCAGAACCGTCTCGCCAGCCTTGACCACAGAAACCTTCCTCAGGGCTTTGCTGCTGCCTTGGATCTTTGGCAGGGCTGCGGGCAAGAGGCGAGGCTGAGAGGACTCCCCTAGGTCTTACATGAGCAGAAATGAGAGTGCCATGGCCCTGTACAGCAGCAGAGCAAATCCACGTGCAAGCAGTTAGTGCAACTGGGCTGCTGGAGCAAGCACAAGCTGAGGGCAGCTTGGAGCCAAGGAGGAAGCTGGAAGTGCAGAGACAACTCAGTTGGCATCATGCTTTCCAGGAAGACCAAGGCAGTGGACAACAGCTGTGAACTTCCAGGTCCAGCAGGACCCTGGATTGAGACCCTTGCTCAAACACACATCTTGAGAGATGCAGACGCCAGAGCCTAGAGACCCACGTGCAGGAGCATCCATGGCTGCTGATGCAGAGCCTGGCACCTCCAGCGCCTTCCCCACTCACCATACACCCTGAGGCGATACTCCTTGGCGCTGCGGCCCGCGGCGTTGCTGCACTCGCACGTGTACGACCCCTTGTCCACCAGCCGCACCTTCTCTATGTAGAGCATCCTCCCTCCTGCAGACACCAGCTCCGGGCTCCCTGGCTCGCTGGAGAGCGGCTCACCTGCGCGAGCGGGGAGAACATCAGCCTTCTCCGAGGCTCCCAACAGGACCACATCTCTCCCTAAGTCCCTAAGGGTTAGCCAGGTATTTCACAGTAAAGAAATAGACTTAGAACCAGCTCTGAAGTCAAGCTCAACCTTTACTAGCTCCCATTTCACACAGTGAACATTGCTCAGCCTTGGATGGGCCAACACCTGGATGCTACGGGATGATGTTCTGGGAAAGCACCTACCGTCCTTCCACCAGGCGAGGGTGGGGAAGGGGATCCCGTGGCACTCGCAGGCCAGCTGAACCACCTGCCCTTCCAGCACCGACACGGGGGACGGCTCTGCCGAGGAGAACCATGGGGGCACTGCAGGACACAAGGGAAAAGCGGCTCCCTGACCACGAGGGATGGTGGAGCTGAGCGGGACACCAGAACAGTGGGATGTTCAGGACTCCTTCGGGTGTCACACAGGCAATTAGCAACCAGCAAAACTCCACCACGTCGCACTGCCTCATATGCAAATAATAATATTGTTTAATAATATTATTAAATATTAGAGATATTTTTGAATGTGCACGGCCTAGAGCCCGGGACGGGAGAGCACCGTGCTCCAGCCACGCACTCGGCTTGGCCAGACGCAGCCTTATTAGGCAGCGCTGCTCGCTGCGGAGGTTAGCTAACACTTTCCATTATCGGCCCTTGTTTTCAGTTGCTTGCAATTACAGCTGGATGGAAAATGGTAGCTCCTTCCCAGGAGGGATATTAGTTTTTGGAAGGAAAAAACCCAACACCCAGAAACGCCCGAAAAACAAAAAACAGCAGAACCCAAACAATCTCTGCGAGCCAGGACGCCAGGCCAAACATGCAAACGTTTCCCTGGGAAGGGATTTAAAGAACAAACGCGTATGGGGAGAACTGGATTCTTTCCATTCCCTGGCTACCTGCCTGCAGGACTGGCCTAAAGCATCCCTGAGGAAAGCCAGGCTCTGCCTTGCTCTCCAGCAAGCCGAGGCCGTGCTGCACCAGCCACGAAGTTGTGGGGCTGGTCGAGTGCAGCAAGAGGGGCTGGTGCCCATGTTGGCAGCGGCTTGGGAACCACCATCAGCGTCTTCCCAACTGGGCAATGGGAGGGAAAGGAGCCCTTCCAACACCCCCTGTGTTGTGCAAGTGCAAAGAAGTGACAGAAAGGTTCTGGCAATGGCAAGGAAATATTTTCACGCTTGTGCCAAATTTTAGAAAGAAAGCTCTTCATCATCACTGAGGCCTCCCCAAAGGAAGGCTCATGCAAACATTGGCTTTTTCCCTCCGACACTTATTCTCGTAGGGGGTTCCCAGCTGCATCATTTTGCAGAGCGTTAAATTTGTGCTTAACATTTTCCAAGCCAGTGAACTACCTTAGCTGCCTATTATACATAAATGTATATGTATGCATGCGTGCGAGCGTGTGCGTTGGATTTTCCCCCGATGGGATATTCCGGCTGAAGCGGCCCTTACCCCACACGTCGACGTCGTAGTGGTTCTCGGAGCGGCCCAGGCGGCTGGACACCTCACACGTGTACCTGCCTGCATCCTGCACGCCAGCGCTCCTGATCTGCAGCAACAAGCAGCGCTGCAGCACTCGCCCAGGGCTGCATGGGGCTCCGAACAGCGGATATGGTCGGGAAGAAGGGAGGACCCCCTGTCCTGCCCCTTCCCGAGAACAGGCATGAAGGGACGAGTCTTGGCAGCCCCATTGCCCTCCTGTCCTCTGCAGGGCTCTGAGGCATCACCTGGAGCGTGGTCCCCTCTGCAGAGAGATGCAGTCCTGAGTCCGGCGTGAGCAAGTGTCCGTCCTTCAGCCAGCGGGACTGCCCAGCTGGCAGCCCCGGGGCCAGGCACTCCAAGGTCACCGACTGGTTGATGAGGATGGAGACTTTCTGCTCTTCGCCCAGCGTGCTGGATGGCACTGGAAAACAACCAGCCCCAGAGAAGGTCACCAGGGAAACACCTTCCCAAAACCAGCCACTCAGTTGGGCTGTCTCATCCACATCGGCCATCCCAACACTTTCCCAAACCATCCACTCAGTAAGGGTGTCGCACCCACACTGCCCCATCCCAACACCTTCCCAAACCATGCGCTCGGTTGGGGTGTCTCATCCACACCGGCCATCCCAACACCTTCCCAAACCATCCACTCAGTTGGGCTGTCTCATCCACACTGCCCCATCCCAACACCTTCCAGAGGCTGACACCTCTCGGCACTGCCATGGGACATCAGAGCATCCCCATACCCCCCAACCTGCCTACGGCACCCCACAGCAGCCATGGGTGTCCCCCCGCGCAGGAGGGCCTGGGGGAACAGTCAGGGCTGTACTTACACCGCACCTCGAGAGCGGCCTCCCGCCGGTCCTCCCCCACCACGCTGCTGGCCACGCACACGTAGGTGCCCGAGTCCAGGAGGCGAGCAGCCCGCAGGGACAGCACGCTCCCGCCCGAGAGGATCTGTGCGGGTCCGGACACAGAGACACAGCCTGGATGAGCAGAGCAGCCAGCCGGGCCGCGTGCCAGCAGGCAGGGACAGGAGGCAGATGGCACCAGCCTGCCCGGAGACCATCCTCGCCACATCCAGGGGCCTCCCTGTCCTCCAGCCCCGGCACAGAGCTCATGTTTCCCATGCAGAGCCCACTCAGCACCAGCAATGTGCTTTTTGGAAGACAGAGGACATCTCTGTACGATCCAGGGGGACATCTCAGCAAGCAGCTCCGTTCTGGGGAGTCTCACCTGTGGCCCGTCTGCCACCATGGTGGGCACGGGATTGCCATCCTTCAGCCACAACAGGACCGGTGCGGGGACCCCTGTGGCCTCACACGCCAGCTCCACCGGCTCATTCATCACCACTGTCGCATTGCTGGGGCCAGACGTGATGCGCGGGGGCACTGCAGAGGCCAAAGGAAGCACTGAGCGCCACCAGAGACACGGAGGTGCAAGAGAAGGGGCCGTGGCTGAGGCAGGACACGCAGCAAGAGAGCCATGATGTGGATCAATTTTTAGGGTCCAGCTTCTCTGGGGTATTAGCTGGGATGGACACGGAGTGGGGCTTCTGGGGTTGGAAACACTTGAGGTGGCATTGCCTGGTGCAGTCAGGGTAGAGAAGAGTCTCCACTAAAACCATCTTCCTTGGATAGAGGAGCATGTACCCACAGGTTGGGATGGACCCACTGCTCTGGCCCTGCACACACGCACTAGGGCCGACATCCACCTCGGACATGTGCAGCCCTTGTCCCCGTCGCAGTGGGCTCACCCGTCACCTTCAGGCTGTACCAGAGCTCAGCAACACCGGCCGCGTTGGAGGCGACACAGCGGTAGCTCCTGGTGTCGGAGGTCTGTGCATGCTGGATCTCCAGGTGCCTCCCATCTCTGTGCAGCACCAGGCCTGGTCCAGCCGAGAGTCGCTCAGGCCCCTTGTACCAGGCTATGTCTGGAAGAGAAGAGCTCTGCTAGAAGGAGCGATGCTGCCTTCCCTTCGCACCCCCAGGACAGGGAATGCAGCCACAGGTCCCAGGGGAGATCCGAGGCGCAAGAAAGAAGAGAAGATTGAATTACCTGGAGGTGGCACCCCAGAGGCCAGACACTGCAGGGACGCCGTGCTGTTCTCCAGGACGGTCACGTTCACCTCGCCAGGCTCGATGCTTGGAGGCACTGCAACCCACCACCCATGGTCATCACCTCCGTATGACAGGGGTAGATGGCCATGACCATGGCGGTTGTGACTTGCCCTTCATGTCAATAGGGCAACAGTCCCCCAGGAAGAAATTTCTCATCACAGTTCCCTGTTTCTCACCCAAGACCTTCAGCACCACATCCTGCTTGTCCTCCCCGACAGAGTTCACTGCAACACAGGAATAGACTCCTTCGTCCTTCAATTCAGCCTTCTCGATCTAGAGACAGAAGAGGACATTCCCGGTTAGCATCCGTCGCACACAAGTCCAAGCCATCCCCTCTCTGCACAAAACAGGGCGAGGGGACCTTTGCTCCCTCCTCCGCTTCACCAGCTCCACCAGAACCTGCCACAGAGGAACCCACGGTGTCCAGCTCTGCACTGGGGCTTCTGTATTTGCCGCCCATCCCTACCTGGTAAAGGTGACCGGTGGCCGGCAAGAGGAGCCCGTCCTTCCACCAGCTGAGCCGCGGAGGTGGAGTGCCAGTGGCCAAGCACCGAAGAGTCACGGGCTCCCGGAGGGCCACGCTGAGGCCCTGTCCCTCCACAATGCTGACGGATGGGCGCTCTAGCCAGGGGAGGGGAAAAGAACCAACACGGGGCTGAAGAGAGATCTTCTACGAGGAAATATCTGGGAGTGCTTCCCGTTCCTTCTCCCCATCCACCCCTTGGAGCTGCCATGTCCATGGTGTGGGAAGGGCAGCAGGTCTCTCCGCAGATGCTCTGCTCACCTTGCACCAACACCCACACCTCCGTCTGGGCTCCGCCGGCCTCGCTGCTGCCCTGGCAGACGTAGAGCCCTTCGTCACTGCGCCCTGCACGGGGAATCACCAGCGTCCTGCCGTCCGCAGACACCACCGCCCCGTCCAGCGCGTCCAGCGGGTGACCGTCCTTCAGCCACCTGGAACAAAGGGAGGAGGAAGCGGGTGCTCAGCCCACAGCCTGTTTCTACCCAAAGGACCTGGAGCACAGCTGGATTCTTCCCTGTACAAAGTCAGGGCAAGAGGCTTTTCTCCAGCTGCTTCTCATGGATACTTCCCTCTCTTTACCAGATACATCCCGTGACAGGTGGGGAGACAATAATGGGATATATTTCCCAAAGGACAAGCTCTGTGCTCGTGCCCAAAGGGACACTCTAAGCCAGGGGTCCCCATCACTCATCAAGATCCCCTTCCTGGTCATGCTGCATTTTTCACACACCCAGCTGTAGGGCAGCACCAGGAGCTTGCGTAGCTCCTAAAGGGAGCTCGAGGAGCTAGAGCAGGCACCACAGCTGCTCCATGGTACTCACTGGAGCTGGGGTGCAGGGAAGCCCGTGGCGTGGCAGTGAATCTGCAGGGAGTCGTTGGCAGTCACCATCACGTGGCTTTCCCCATCGCTGATCAGCACCTGGGGGGGAACTGGGACAAAAAGAAAGAAAGAAGAGGACGACAGGCTAAAGACCACCAAAAAAGCCTCAGACATGGCAAGGGAGAAGATGCTGCTCCAGGAAAGCAGGAGTTGCTGGGGATTGGGAGCGTACAGTACCACCCGCAGCTGTTGAGACTGAATATGACTTTTCCCAAAGAAGCTGAAGCTTTAGGCCACCATCTTCGCCCCTTTCCCTCCCTCTCCAGCTCACACAGCTAAAGGGCAGATGTGGATGCTCCCCGAGCCCCTGCGCTCCCTGCTCCAGCCGCAGCTGGAAGCGCCCGGCCACTGTACCGTGGACCACCACCGTGTACTGCACCACACTCTCGCCGGCCGCGCTGCTGGCTACGCAGGTGTAGATTCCCGCGGAGCTCTCGGACACGGCGCCCGCTCTCAGCAGCCGGCCGCCGGCCAGGAGCAGCGTCCCGGTGCCGCCGGGCAGCGGGAGCCCGTCCTTGAGCCACCGCACGGCGGGAAGCGGGTTGCCGCTGGCCAAGCACTGGAGCTCCAAGGGCTGGCCCACCAGCACCACCACCGCGTGGTCCTCGTCAGCCACACCGTCGATATTCGGGGGCACTGGGGACACAAGGGCAAAACACACAATGCAGAGGCTGTGGCTTTGGTTCGGAAGCTTGTGGTAAGGGAAGGGAGGCAGCCTGGGGAGCCTGAGGTCCACATGGTGTCTCCAGTTGGGTCTGGCTTCATGGGGGACACCAGAGCGCAGCCCACAAGCTCATCCCACAAGGAGAAGTCAAACCGGCTCAGCAGAAACCCGGAGCCACAGGTGAACCCAAGCAGACACGGGCCGAGAGTTCACCCCAGGAACCGAGCTCCAAAAGCCAGCTCATTTCCCAGAAACGTGACATCATGCAGTGCGTTTGCCATTTCACAGAGCATCCCAGAAACAGAAACACACATTTACATCTGTCCTGACACAGCTGAACACAGCCAGCAGCCCCCGCAAAGCTGCTGCAGGGGAAACCACCAGAGAAATGGCCTTGCTGGAAAAGCCAAGCGCCAGCCAACGAGCCACGGATGCGTCCTAGCTGGCCAGGAAGGGCAGCTCCTCTGCCTTCCTCTTTGCAAGCGCGTCAAGCGAGGAGACCAAGACTTACCATAAACCTCAAGCCTCACAGCTCTCTCCACCGTGCCCACAGGGTTGGTGGCCCGGCACGTGTACAGCCCCGCGTCCGTCACCTGGGCCGCGTTCAGCCGTAGGACGTGTCCCCCTCTCACGTAGGTGGTCTTGGCACTGGAGATAAGGGGCCGCCTGTCTTTGAGCCACACGATGCTGGGTGCCGGGGAGCCCCGCGCCTCGCAGGGCAGCTCGCTGGAGCGGTTCAGCAGCACCGTCACCACCGCCGTCCCGCTGGAGTCCACGATGGAGGGGGGAGCTGGCCACACCAACGGAGCAGATGTGACACGGGGAGATGCTGCAGGCTATTTAGCTACTCCCCAAAGCCTCCAAGTTAGCTCAGGACACCTGTATGACCCATGCATTGAAGTCTACTGTCCAAGAGCTGCATTGATTTTGTCACACCAGGTTATTTGGTGCAGGATACGGGGGCAAAATCCACCCATAAAGACAGGTATCCTGCCTGCCTGTACCACTGGGCTGGCCACTCCAGCCCAGACATTCCCAATATAGGGATAATATCCCATTTTGGTACATTGGTAAAATGCCTCCCTGGCTTTCCCAGAGTCAGGAGGAAAGGTGAAAGGTTTGAGGAGCTGGACTAGGAGGAAGATCTCCTAGATCTCCTTCTTTGGAGATCTTTAGAACCCGCTTGGATGCAGCCCTGTGCCATGTGCTCTTGGTGACCCTGTGTGACCAGGGGGGTTGGACTAGGTGGCCTCTGAGGTCCCTTCCAACCTTAAGTATTCTGTGATTCTGAGATTGTCAGGGTAAGGCCAGCCAGGGACTTACTGAGTACGAGCAGTTGGAAAGCCTTGCTGTGCTGGCCAGCCTGGTTGAATGCTAAACACTGGTACCTCCCTTGGTGGCTGGGCTGGCTGTCCTCGATCCTCAAGACCTGATCCTCCTCCAGGAGCTGGACATGGGAGTCCTCTGTGGGGAGAGGCCTCAAGAGGGAGAAGGACACAAAAATGAAGTCAGAACCAAGCATGCAGCAAAGGATGGAGACTCCAAGGTGTGCAGCAGTGGTGCAAGGTCTTGGGGCAGTCCTTGGGGACCTCACTTACTGCCCGTCCTTCAGCCACTCCACCTGTGGCGGGGGCACTCCCGAGGTCCGGCATTCCAGCACTGCCTCGGAGCCCAGCGGCACGGAGACGTTGTGAGGCCGCCCGGGCCCCGGCGCTGTTGGAGGCACTGGGGGGCAGGAATGAAGAGCAGAGGAGACTGAGCAGGAGGAAAGCACCGCAAGCCACCAAGACTAGAAGGTATGGGACACGCTCAGGTTTTGCCCGCCTCACTTCTCTGTGCTGTTATTGTAGCAGAACGAGCACTGGAGGCAATAGTAGGTTCAGTGCAACCACTCAAGGCCTCCTACCTCTTCTCAAACCCAGAGACCTGTAGTTGAACTGATGGAGAGCACAGGACACTGACAGTTTGTGGGCTGAGTATGTAGAGGGTCCCTTTAACTAGTGCCTTGCAACACTGGGGACCAGTGTGACAGGGTGCAGAAACTCCAAAGGGACCACTTACATGCTGGAAATGGCCCAAGGGACCACCAGCCAACCCAGATACATCAGCCTGCTCCACCATGTGTCCTTCCACTCTTTGAAGCTCAAGCCTGATCCCACAGGTGCTCCCACTAGAGACAGGGTGATGGGGATCTGACTCACCTAGAACAAGCACGCTGAAGAGTCTCCGGGCCTCTCCGACCTTGTTCTCAGCTCTGCAGGTATAGGAGCCCGCATCCTCCTTGCGCACCTTGGGGAAACGGAGGGCCTGGGCCCCCCGGAGGAAGTGGACACCTTTGCCTTTGCTCACCTAGAGAGGAGAGGGAAGAAGGGAGGCATCAAGGACAGCAATCCCCACCCAGAAATGCATGAGCCTCTACCCCTATTCCAGCAACTCACCAGCTGCCCATCCTTGTACCACGAGATGGTGGGGACAGGGGTGCCGGACACACTGCAATCCAGCATCAGGGGCTGGCCAGCCACAGCAGAAACGTTCTCCTGCTGACCACTTCCCATCATCTCTGGTGGGGCTGGGGGAAAGCAAGAGTGGTGGCACTGGTAGGAATTGGAGGTAGCATTTGTCTTCCTCACTGCTCTGTCCCCAGCTCCCCACACTCTCAGGGAAGAGCCACTTTGCCCAGCACCATCAGAAGTTCTCACCATCCATGCAGCAAAGACAGCACTTGCCCTATTGAGGGCATGGAGCAAAACCTAGACCTGGCCTCGTTTGGAAGTCTCATGCAAGAAGTCTCCTGCACCCAGCCCCACGTACCATAGACCAGCAGCTGGGTAGTGCGGCTCACGGAGCCCACCTCGTTGGTCGCCAGGCAGGTATAATCCCCGCTGTCCCCAGGCTGCACAGCTCGTATCAAGAGCGAGCCCCCATCCAGCACGTCAGCGCCCGGCACGACGTTCAGCACCTCCACTGCATCCTTCAACCAGACGATGGACGGTGCGGGGGTCCCTGCATGGGTGCAAGGCAGCAGGGACCCACATGAGCACCCCGGCTCTGCACAGCTATAGGCATGGCGTCTGCTGTCCATGCTGAACGGCTCAGCAACGTGCTGGGAGAGAGGATGCCTGCAAAAACCCATGTTAGCACTAGGAACACTCAGAGCCTGAGGTCTCATCCACATGCTGCCTCCTTGACTATAACTGGCATGATATTCATCTGCTCCTTGGAGACTCCATGGTCAAGAGCATGCCTCTTTTTCACCTATAAAGACCCAGCCCAGCCCTTCCCACATAAGCGCTCTCCCTATATCTTCACCAGCTGCCCACAAGCCTCATCCACACGTCCAGTGTCCCCTGTACAACGCGGCGCGGCCACACGATGGTGCTCCTTGTGCAGCGCTGCAGCCAGCAGTGCCCGCAGCCCAGGCACTGCAGGGAAAGGAGCCACCGCTGCATAAACCACCGTGAACCCACCCACAGAGCACTCTTTGTGGCACTTCTATGTGAAAAGAAAAAAAAAAATATCCAGCAAGAAGTGTATGAGCATGGGGACAGTCCAGGAGAGAGTGTTGGCTCCCCATTAACACCGTCCTGATGGAGGGCAGGGGCAGAAGGAGAGCAGCCAGACTGGGGTAAGTATTTCCCACGTACACAGAGTTGAGGATGGGATGAGGTGGGATGAGCAACCCCCCAGCACCGGGGCTCTTACCTTTGGCAGGACACAGCATGGTGACATTCTCATGGATCACCCTCTCCAGCAGGACCTGCGTGCCGTCCTCCATGTAGGGGACCTCTGCAGGGAGAAGTGACCCCAGTGAGGGATCGGGGGGGTCTCACTGGCCTGTACCTAGTCCTCTTCACCCACCAACCGCTTCTCACCTAGTGGGGCTGTGTGCCAGGACCTCAGTCTCAAGAGAGGTCTTCCCAGGGCAGCACGATGCCCAACATGATGCCCAACACTCACCCAACACTTCCACAGCCAGCTCTGCTGCATCTTGCCCCGCACTGCTGTTGGCAACGCAGCGGTATTGTCCCGAGTTGGAGACCTGCACGTTCTTGATGCTGATTGTCCCATCAGGCCCCTCCAGGAAGCCCCCCTGGCCCACGTTCAAGGGGCGGCCATCCTTGTACCAGCTGAGGTTGGGGACAGGGTCCCCATGAGCCATGCATGGCAGCTCCAGAGGAAGACCCACCAGAATCCGCAGGACCTTGGGCATAGGGTGGATTTGTGGAGGGACTGGAATAGAAAGAAAGGAGGGGAACGCTGCTTTGAGAAAAGAAGCAGAGTCATGTCCCCATCTGAGACTCCCCCAAGTGACACCAAGGCCAGCACGTTCCCTCAACGGTGGAAGGATGTGAAGAGTCCTCTTCTGGATCAACAGTGAAAGAGAGACAGCATAGAAATGCGAAAAACATCCACAGGTTCATTTTGGGCAGACTTGGAAGTTTTTCCAGTCCTAACAGCATGCTAGCCCACAAGCCAGTCACAACACAAGAGAACGTGATGGAGTGACCAGTGTAATGACAGGGACCTCTGCAATGTCAAGCACAAGCCTATCTGGCCACCCATCATCAGAAGGACCCAGCGAGCTTAGCTCAGATGGGGATGCAACCCCATCTGGTTTGGCCTCTGCAAGGAGAGCCTCCAAGTTCTCCTTGGACACACGCACCTTGGACCTCCAGGCTGTAGCTGAGTGAGTCGTTCCCTGCAGCATTCGTGGCCGTGCAGATGTAAAGGCCACTGTCTGTCACCCTGGGCTCAGCCAGCAGGAGCGATCCCGAAGGAAGGATGCTGTACCTACATGGAGAAGGCACAGACAACAGGCATTTCACCTTGCTGCGGAAGGATTGGCACGTCTTCTTCACCTAGGTCTCCAAAACTCCATTCAGCTTTTCCCTGAGCAGGAGAGGATAAGTCCAAGTGTAGTTTGTCACACCCAAACCCCACAACTCGCACTGGCAACCACAAGAAAACGATATGCTTCTTGACAGCAAGATTGCCCACATGCCTTCTCTAGTAGGAGGCCTGCTGAGCTGCACAGGGTTGCAAAATCCCTTTGCTCGGTCTCTGCACGAGCATAGCACAAGGCAGCAGCAGGAGACAATCCCCATCATGGGCTGGGAGATCATTCCTAACGGGGGAACTCAGGTCCTGCAGCTGGAGCTGACCATGCTCTCGCCACCGGTGCTGACCCAGCATCATCTGGGCTCTACAGACATAACCTCATCTCAGCCCACGTCCATAGAGTCCTCAACTGCGCTCTCCCATAAATCACTTAGGCAGATGAAGACAGGAGGCTGAACCTAGCGGAGCTGGGAAAGGAGCACAAAGGAACTGGGGGCAGGGCAGGAAACTGGATAAACAAGAACAACGAGGCAACAGAGTCCCTCAAAAAGGAGGGGGAAGACAAGAAGCTTTCACGCTTCCTCAAGCCACAGCAACCTCTATGTGCAGAAATAAGAGATGATCACCAAGACCAGGTACCCATGATGAGATACCATGAGGCACTGCCCCTCCAGCAAGGTGCTGGTATAACAGGTCCCATCTCCAAAGGTTAAACTCCATCTGTTTGGCCACAGAGCAAGACACACTCCATAAGTGTGTATTCAACCACTCTCAAGCCTGTCTTCTCACATCAAGTGGCTTTTAAATGATTGTCCATTGCTGACATCAGTGTCAAAACCACCAACAAAAGAATCTGGGAAAAGCTGAGAAACACCAAGGGCTACCAAGCAGGGAGCAAAGCAATCCCTTTAGCCCAGGAGGTCTCAAGAGACCCTTCCACACACAAACACGGACCAGTGGGAGAAGCTGTGGCTCTATAGGGGCAATGCATCTCCACTGTGCTCCTAGGAGCTCTCCCCTTGAAGGCCTTGCTCTGCTGCAGTGAGGACTCTGACTGCACTGGTGGGACGTGCCTCAGCAACCCAACTGAAAACAAATTAAACACAAAGGCAGACACTAGACACCTGCCCTGAACTGTCCCTGTACAACTAGCTCTCCACTTGCTCCTGGGAGCTCCCATGGGGACGGGATATAGAGGACTCGGGTCAGACGGTTCCTTCCTGGCCACCCAACCCTCCCCACCTCTCAGGCTGCCCGCTCCCCAGCACATCTGCAGCCCGCAACGTCTTGTCCTGCACGCACACAGTGCCGCCCCTTCCCCGCAGGGAGAAGCAACGTGCCGACGGGAAGATTCTCCACGGCAAACGTCAGCAAAGAGCTGTCTGCTGGAGGTGAGACTTCACAGAGCGGGGCTCCGGCCACGGAGCTAAGAGCCAGCGCTTCGCTTTGGTCCAGCGGACAAATTCAAGCCAGCTGCAGAACTGGGAGCAGGACCCAGTGTGAGGTCAGGTGGGAGCAAGGAAATGTTTGGAAAGCAGCTTTCCCAGCCAGGAGCAACCGTTAGCTGGGAAGCAGATAGAAGATGCAAAGACACGCATGATCTGCCTCATGGGTAGTTGAAGGAGACCTACTCTATGCAGGGGAGTGTGACACCTCCGATGGGCACAGGGTTGAGATCAAGTGGAGGGCTCTCCAACCCTCGCCCTGCTACAAGTCTGCTCTGGACCCTGCTGAAGTGCAGGACATCAGAGAAGTTCTCCTGTTGGCGTGACCCTGCTAGGCACAAAGCTGTCCTGGTGTTCACAAACCCGGCACCCTGCAGGACCATACGCATGCCAAGAAGCCCTCAAGGCAGCAGCTCTCCTCACCTCGCGGTGGCAAGGGGCACTGGCCGGGACTCCTTGGTCCACGCCACCAAGGGAGTGGGGGTGCCATGAACTTCACAGGGCAGGATGGTTTCCTGCCCAACAAGAGCCTGGATCATCACGGGGCCTGACGACTCACGCGATCCGTTCACGCTGATCCTGGGTTTTGCTAGATGGTGGGACAGAGACATAGCATGCGAATGGTGCCACAAGCTGTGAGCAAGAGCGGTTGGGCCTTTGCCACTGCCTTCGTGTCCTGCAAGCCCATCCATCTAAGCACTCACTGCTGATGGAGAGCTGCAGCTCCCGGCTGGACGAGCCTGCGGCGCTGGCAGCCATACAAAAGTAGGTCCCAGCGTCGCCGGCGGAGGCCGAGGGGATCAGGAGGGTCCCGTTGCTGCCGAGGAGGTAGCGGTGGCTCTGCGAGATGGGCTCTGTGCCCTGCGGGGGGAACGGGAGGGAGAAAAGAAACAAAAATCCCCCTGCGAGCTGAGCTTCCCAAGCACCGGAGCCTTGCTCGGGTAGGTCGGATGAGCCTCACGGCTCCCCGGGCGGCTCCCGCAGCGCCACTTCCCAACAGCTTGCTTGGCCGGCACGCTGCATCCCACGGAGCCAGCGGTGAGGCAGCAACCAGCCCTGCCGCCTGCATCCCACGGGAAGGGCGGGAAGGCGCCTACCTTTGCCCAGGTGACAGCCGGGGGTGGCACGCCGGTGGCATCGCACCGCAGGGTGACAGCTGAGCCCTCGGTCGCGGTGACGAGGGCAGGGCCCAGCTCAATGCTGGGAGGAACTGCGGAGAAAAAGCAAATATCCTCACAGACGTCCTCGCATCCGCCAAAGAGCCCAGCGCTGCTGCGCTTCCTAAGGGAAAAGCGAGTCTGCAAGCAGGCTCTGCAGAGAACTGCCCCCCGGGCCCATCTCCCCCAGCTACACGGCAGGAGCAGCCCACCGCCTTCGCTCTCCAGGCGCTTTCTCGGCTGTGTGCTATTTCTCCTGCCTCCCCGAGGTGTTTGCTCCCACATTTCCAGCAGGGCTCAGCTTTTCGGGATGATCCTGCTGAAAGGGGAGCAATATCACCCCCGAAAACCCAAGCATCCCCATGCAGCACGCCTGGTGTTCATCCCACAGGCCTCGCTGCTCTTCCCAGGCTCCCTACAAGCCTGGACATGCTGCCCTGTGGGTCCGGGCCCAAGGTCAGCAGCTTGGCAGGCAGCAAGCAACTGAATTTCATGTGTCCAGAATCAGATTTCACGTGTCCTGGCTAGTTTGCTGCTGCGAGTTTGCCAGACAGCAGATGTGCTCTGAGCCTGCTTTGTAGTCCCACCACGCTGTCTTGAGGACTATTGCCTATCTAGAGCCCGATGCTCAAGGGTATTCCTGCTCTGATGTATTGGAATTGCTCTTCCGGATCGCTGGAAAAGCCTCATTTGGTCCAAAAGCTGCAGTCGTATCCTGCTTAGGCTGCAGGGACCTGACAGAAGGGGTGAGCTGGTGGCATCCATCACCATCCTCCTTGCTGTGTTCAAAGTGGAGCACCCACAGGCACCAGGAGCACCCCGCATGCTGCCACTCACCATGGACAACCAGTGCCACGTCCTGCCTGTGCGAGCCCACAGCATTGGAGACCACACAGGAAAAGTTCCCTGCATCCTCCTGGGACACCTGCTCCACATGGAGGCTCCCATCAGCACGGAGAGAATAACGTCCGCCGGGGGACACCTATGTGAAAACAGAGACCGGCCTGAAGGCATCAAATATCACCTTGTTGCTCCATCTTGGGCATGTATCTGGAAACTGGACCCTGAGTAACAGTGGGAACACCCACAGACCAGGACCCAAACGCTCCTGCAGCATCTTCCAGGCGGAGCTTTGAGCCCTGGTGCCTCGTGCAGGAGGAGGGCGGTGTGTTTGGTAGGAACACGGCTGCAGGAGCCGGTGGCACCGAGCCGCAGACCCTCACCGTGCGTCCCTGCTTCAGCCAGTGCCGTGCTGGGAATGGATTCCCAGCCAGGACCACGCAGGGCAGCGAGACGGGCTGGCCTCTGAGCGCGCGGATCACCGGTGCTCCCTGAGCTATTGCTGGGGCTGCTGGAGAGAGAGGGAAGACGCAAACCACGTGAATTGCTGTTAGATTGGCAAGCAGACCTCCTGCTCCCCAGCGCTGCGAGTTAACGTCCATGGCAACCTCCATGGAAACCCGAGCAGCCAGCAGGCTCTGGAGGGAGAGCGGCACAGACCTTGTCAGGACCTGCCGCCTCTCCCGCCCGGAGCAGCACAGGGAAGAGAGGGAGGGCTCCTTGCCTTCCCAGGGCCACCAGGAGCCCTTGCTTTCCCCATTGCCACGGGGAGCTGGCCGAGAGCCCACAGGGAACTAGCCACTGCGTTGAGTGATCCTGAGCCTCTGGGTTGCCCCTCTTTCAAGGTCCAGGTCTTGGATCAGCACAAGCCCACAGGGAAATTCAGCCTCCTCCAGAGTTTGGGGATATCTGCCTATGACTTGTGCTCAGGCACACATCAGCGTATTCAGGCCAAAGACTGAAGGGGCTGTGTTTGGACCCAAAAAGGAGGAAGAAGTCTGCACTGGACAGCGTGAGAATTCCCGCAACCAGCTCAGAAGAGGAAAAGACAACGCAGTTCTGATGTCCCCAAAGCTGCCAGCACGGCTCTCATTGGCCTCCACGAGGCCACGAGCCTCCCTGCGATCAACACATCGATAAAGTCACATAAAAGCAAACCGTGTCCAGTGATGGCCAGCTTGACCTCTGCTTGGATCTTCCCAAACTCATTCTGGGCTTCACAGACATAGATGGCTTGGTCATCCAGCGAGGCTCCTGGAGCAGAGGGAGACGTCTCAGCCAGGCCGTAGGAGGCAATTAGGTCCAGCCAGAGCCTGGCAGAACCCAAGAGCCCAAGTCACAGGACTATCCTACTATCAATGAAGAGCTCGTTGGCCTCCAGCTGGCTGGAAACATCTAGCAGCCCGTGCTGGCCCCGCAGAGGCTTCCCATCCTGCCGGGACCAGGTGACCCGTGGTGGCGGGGAGCCCTCGGCGCGGCATGGCAGGCTCACACGCTCCCCTATCTCAACTGACACCTCCTCCAGGTCCTCGGCAAACCGAGGGGCAGCTAAAGGGGAGAGTAGCAGCAGAACAGAGCGTCAGGCAGGTCTAAGTCCCCTTCCACTTCTTGAAGGTGGCACCAGGGGCTAGGACTTCACGAGACCCAGTGGCAGCTGCCGGAGGCCAGCAAGCTGCAAGTAATGAGATGGTAATATCCAGAGCTTCTGGAAATGAAAGGTTCAGCAGGAGCCGCGTGCTTATGCCAAGATGATTTCAGCTCTAATGCACAGCCCTGGGACCTGGAAGAGGATGAAGCTGAGGAAAAGAAGGGCTCAGGGGAGCTGCACTTTACCAGCACACAGCTCCTTTTGCAAGTTTTCGTTTCCAAGGCAAGACCTTTAGGCAGCTTTAAGCGGAAGGACCATGGAGTGGAGGTATCTGCAACAAGGATATGGCAGGGTCTCCTCCCGGGCATGGGATTCACCAGAGTCAGGACACTCTTGGATGCTCCCAGGCGAGCCCTGTCTGCTCGCGCCCAGGCGCTCACTGATCAAATTGCCATTTTTCCGATGAAATAAAGCGGCAGCAGGTAAGCAGCTGCAGCCCTCCTGCAGAAACGTGCCTGGCTGCAGGGCTCGGACAGCAGGCAGTGCCAAGCAGGAGGCAGCAAGGACATCCCCCATGGGGAAGCACCCACTCCAGCAGAGCTCAGACCCAGGGGACACCTTTATCCTGCCCCCGTTCAGCCGGGCAGCACCTGGGCTTGCAGCAAACCCATGCACGGGGCATCGCCACCGGCCCCATCAGCACATGGGAAGCCACCCCACGCTCCCAGCACGCAGGAGGAGCCCACCAGTGCAGCAGAGGAGATGTTTGCACTGCTAATGGACTCCTTGGCCGGCTGCTCTCTCCCACCCGCAGCCAGATCCGTGCCTTTGCTCCCGCTCCAGCCTTCTGACACACTTGGCTCCTCCTTTTCATCCGGCCACAGAGCTCGGACGACCCCAGCAACTCATCCCGCTCCAGATTGCAAGAGACCAGACCTTCCAGTGCCCGGATAGGCAGGAATCTTGCCCCTCGTGCCTGTGCAATCCCAGGGCAGCCTGCACATGCAGCAAGCAGGACTGCACCGGGCTGGCCATGCCAAACGCCTTTGCTGTGCTGTAATGGGCTCAGGGGACGCTCTCACGGTCGCGGGGTGTCCCAGCGGCTCCGGTCGGCAGCGGAGAGGAGGCAAGTGTCCCCGGAGCCAGGGAGGGGCTGGACGGCAGCCCGCTGGCCACGCGGACGCCGGGGTGGCCTCAGCTGCAGCGGATGGGGCTGGGGCTTCCCGGACAGGGAGACATGCCAGGATACGAGTAGGAAGGGGAAGTTACCAGCCACCCGGCATCACCCTCCTGGCCCCTAAGGGGAAGGGGGACAGCCCCAAGTCTCAGCACCCTGGAGCAGGTGGGTTGCATCTCCTGCACCGGGGCATCCTGCAGCAGGCGTGGAAGGGAGCAGCAGTGCAGCCCTCCTGCTTCCATCCCGCCAACACTTCCTCAAAATAAAGGGGTATCTGGGTCCCAGGTTGCCCTTCTGCTCCTTGGTGAGAGCTGGCAAAGCCCCCAATCCCACCCAGGGCTCCCCATCTTCTGCGCCCACCCATGGCCCACGTGCACCGAGGAAACCCACCCCAACACCCTCGGAGTGGTGGCCCAAAGCGGGAGCCCAGCGCGGCGCAGGGCGCCCGGCCCCGCCGGCACGGGCGGACACTTACAGCCCACACGCAGCAGCACGCGGCGGGACGCGGCGCCGGCCTCGCTGAGCGCCTCGCACTCGTACTCGCCCGCGTCCTCCTGGCGCACGGCCTGCAGCCGCAGGGCGCCGTGCCGCGCGCCGCCCGGCGACGCCGCCACCTCCTGCCCGCCTGCCCGGGGGGAGATGCCCGCCGTGAGCATCGGATCCCGCGCACGGGCACGGCCAGGAGTCCTCTGGGGGCAGCGACCCCCCCTGCCCGGCGTCACCTTTGTGCCAGACGATCCGGGGCGCGGGGACCCCCGACACCCAGCACTCCAGGAGCGCGTCTTCCCCAAGCCGAGCGTGCACGGCGGGCGTCACGGCCAGCACCGCAGGAGGCTCTGCGCCCACGGCGGGACAGGAGAGGGAGCGTTGGGATAGTGCCACCCAGGAGGGAACGGGCCCCTCGGCCAGCAACGGGAGGGTAACGGTACCGATGTACTCCAGGGTCACTGCTCGCTCATCCCAGCCCAGCGGGCTGCTGGCACGGCAGCTGTAGTTGCCCGCGTCCCCCGGGACTGCGGCCGTGATGTGCAGGGTGCCCTGTGCATCCACGAAAACCCTGGGTGGAGAGAGGGAGGAAACAGCCCTGTGGAAACGGAGCCGATGAAACAAGCCAGCAGGCTTGAAGCTCTCTGCCGTGCGCAAGGAGTTCTCTGGGAATTTAGCAGATCTAATTTTGTGCTGAAATCCAAGCGTGTCGGCTGCTGCAGGAGGGAAGATTGCTTTAAGCTAGGGGGAAAGCACTGAGGATTTGGTGTTTTCCATATCCAAAGCGGGGCAAAAAAAGCTCTCCCCGAAGGCCACTCAAGCATTTATAGTCTCGTGCAGAGCAGGGAGGCAGGAAGCCAAAAGTTTAGCCAAGGACAAAGAGCATTTTGAGGCTCAAGTCCACACTGAGCTTATACGAGGTTCTGGCCACTGCAAGACACCCTTAGCGGGGACATTAAGGACATAGGGGACCCTTAGCAGGGACATAGGTAAGGAAGGATTACTTAAAATTAAACATATGAAGTTAGGACTGGTAGCATGAGGACCACCTCAGGCACAGGGGTTGGGAATATCCCAACACAGCCCGGAGTCACAGCAACCCCTCCCCACCAAACCGTGCATCCCTCCAAAGAGGTTAGAGGACAAAGATGACAGGGTCAAACATTCCCATCGAGAGCTCCCTGTCCATGCGCTCGCCTCCATCACCACCTGCATCCCCCATCCATAACCAGGCCTCACGACGCTCCTTGGGAGGCTGCAGGCGCTGGATCCCGGGCTCTGTGCCTACCTCTGGTGCTGCTCCAGGGTCCTGCCCCAGCGCCTCCAGGCCGTCTGCGGCAGCGGGTGCCCCCCCGTTGTGCAGTCCAGCCTCAGCTCCTGGCCCTTGGAGAACTGCTGGGGGCTCGAGGCCACCTTCACCCACGGCGCCTCTGCACGGGGAGAGGCGGACGGGCTCAGTCCAGGGTGCAACCCGCCCAGCTCCCTCTCCCTTCCCGTGAGCACGGACCCGAACCAGAGCAGGGTGAAACCGGGTCCCCAGGGCTCCCGAGAGGGCTCGGGGTGCAGCTCCCCACAGGACTAAACCCCAGACACACCACACCACCCACCCCACAACCTCGCTGCCGACAAGGAGAGCTGAGCCGTGGCCCCGAGCAGGGCCCCACGAGCCTACCCTGGACGAAGAGCCACACGGAGCCGCGGGCGGCGCCGTGAGCGTTGCGCGCCACGCAGTCGTACTGGCCCCCGTCCCCGGGCTGCACGCCGCGGATCTCCAGCGAGCGGTTCTGCAGCAGCCTCGTCCTGCCTCCCTCCGCGTCCTCCCCGTTCCAGCTCCACGTCAGGTTGTACGGCGTGTGGCCCACAACAGCGCAGGACATGACTACGTCCTGGCCAGGGAGAGCCGTGATGTTTGCAGGGGCTACGAGACGCGGCGGCGGCTCTGCAAAAGCAACGAGCCAAAGGGAAGAATATCATGGACCTACGATGAGCCCATCCCTGAATCCAGACCCTGAGACCTCCAAAGCACCAAGTGTTCGCCAGATTCCACTGGGTGTCAGATGGAAGAAGCACCGACCTGCAACGGAGACGAAGGTGCGAGCCCGTGTTGCTCCAACCTTGCTGGTGGCTGTGCACTCATAAAACCCTTCATCGCTCTTGGAAGCTGCAGGGATGAGCCAGCTGCTGTTCCCTGAACCTCTGCAAGGAAAGAGAGACCTGAGGGTCATCCCCATGCCTGCAGTCACCAGAGCCAGGGTTGCCGTGCCACCAACTCCAGTTTCAACCCCTAGGATTTAACACAAACCCAAAATCTAGCCAGGCAGATGGGCATTCCCTCACCAGCAGCGTTATGCAAGCAAATCCATCATCATTTTCCTCCAAAATGTCACAGCTTTCAAGCACATACGCAGCATATAACGGTGCTGCCGGCTAGCACAGCTCTGAGGTTGCACCTCACACGCATCAACCATGGAGCCAACGGGGCCAAACCAGACCAACCTGAAGAGCTGACCTTCACCGAGCTTCTTCCCGCCACGGCTGAGCTGCAAGCGAAAAGGGATCTCGCTCTGTGCGGAGCAGGAGATCAGCTGAGGCTCGCGGTGGTAAGCCTGGATTTTGCTGGAGATGTTCACCTTGGGTAGACCTGGAAGTGGTTGCACACATAAACCCTCGGGAGCTCATCAAGGGTTGTTCCAGGAGGCCAGATAACAGTATCCAATGGGTTGGGATGGTGCTGGAAGGGATCTGCCTTCTCTCCAACCCCTGCCTGCACCTCAACAGCCTTTGGGGAGCAGGAGCAAAAGCAGGGCGAGCGCTGACCACTCACCAGGGACCACGCTAGTGTAGGTGACCCCGGAGAGGCGGTGCAGGGGGTAGCCCTGGGCGTCTTCACCCTTCACCTTCAGCAGGAAATCCCCCGGGGGTGCCTGGAGCCCCGAGCCCACCCAGAGCTGCCCGGAGGAGCTGTTGGAGAGCGGCCGCACGGGCATCCAGAGGAGCGGGTGGCCAGAGCTGTTGACCAGCTCGATCTCCTGCAAGTGTCCTGGTGGCTTCAGGCCGGTGCTATTCACCCCCACGGAGATGGGAAAGCCTGGAAACAGGGAGGGAAAGCCGGCCACAAACTCGGCCACAAGACACACGGACGCGGTCCACGCACCTGGGAGACACCAGCCTTACCCTGCACCGGCCGCTCACTGGGCAGGCTGGGGTCAAAGTCAGGTTGGGTGGAGAAGCTGGCGTGGAAGTTGACGTTGCTGACACCAGTGACCCTCACCGAATGGCGGCCGCTGCTCTGGGTCTGCCAGTGAAGCAGGACACGACCAGAGAGGGGGGAAGAGGCAAAACCACCCGCTCCACACCCCAGAGACGGGAGGACAGTGAGGGGAAGGTGGCATTGAGTCTCTTCATGGTGTCTTCTCCTCCTCATTGCTTATCCCAGACAGAAAGGGACAAATACGCCGGGGCCAGGACCAGCCTACCTTGATGGTCCATGTCCCTGGCGCATGGGGCTCCACGGCCAGCACCTTGGCTGAGTTTGGGATGCTGAGGAGTTCCTTCAGGTCTCGGCCTTCCTCAAGAACCTTTCCTACAATGGAAAGCAAACCCTCTGCGGTGGGCAACCTAGAGCCCTTACCCAGGTCCCATCTGTCATCTGGAGCCTCTTGCCATTGGGGCTTTTGCCTGCAGCTCTCAGCAGTGCAAAGCACAGATGTAGAGACAGCAGAGGAAACATCCTAAATCCAGGTCCTTCCTCATTACTGAAGTTTTCAGCCCAGAGTTTGACAGTTGCCACTTGTCTTTGGGGTCCTCTGAGCTCTTTCCAGCGTTGGAACAGACAGCCCAAGGAAGCGATGGAGTCCCTGCCCTTGGCAGTATTCAAGAAACGTGCAGATGAGGCACTTAAGGACACAGTTTAGCAGGCATGGTGGTGACAGGTTAACAGTTGGACTTGATGATCTCGAAGGTCTTTTCCAATCATAACAATTCTATGGTTCATAGGAAGCATTTCCCACTCCCCAGAGGACAAAGCATCATCCCTGCTGCCTCCTCCCCTTTCCTTGCCCCTACCTGCAGGATCTCGGACCTCTATCTCCGGAGCAGGGCCGCTCAGGGAGATGGTCACCTCCTTCAGGCTGGAGTCCAAGGGCACAGACCACGTGTGCTCCCCACCAGCCTCGTGGTCGGTGGACAGCAGGTGAACCTTGGAGGCCTGGATGGCCTTTTCCACCCACATGAGCACCTGGGGACACACAGAGGGGATTAACCCGGGAGCCCCAGGTACTACGATTTGCAGAGATGGTTTCGGGTTGTGCTGCCCAGGAGCAGGATCTCGGGGCTGTTGCAACTCAACCGTGCAACAAATCGACAGGTCCCACCGGCCTCTGCAGCGGGCTCCAATTCAGCAAAATCAGCCCCTTGGTGGGGCACAGGAGCCAACCCCTTGGCTGGGCCAAGCGATTCCAGCCCCAGTGCACTGCAGAGGCACCAGCACAAAGGTGGAGCAGGAGCAGAAGGGCAGGAGATGACAGCAGGGACCAGCCTGCTGCGCTGCAAGCGCAGACAGACACACGCGCTTCCCATGCAAAAGCAATCGGGTAATTTGGTGTAATTGTGATTGCCAGATGGCTCCCGCTCAGCGGCTCTGGTACGTTATTACCCTCCAGCTCGCTCCGGGAATACAAAGCACTAAAACACGGAGCCGCCGGAGGCTGGGAAGGGGCGGGAGGCCGGCGGTGCGCGCTGGGAACCGGCCCCGAGCGACTGCTCCGTAACGAGGAGAGGAGCCCTCTGCTCCTCCCCGAGCTCACAGGCACTTCGCAAGCACCGGGGAGATTTTCAAGGACAGGGAAGCTCCTTTCCCCACACTTAGTCTTCCCCAGCCCCTGCTTTAGTTTCAGATCAGGGTTGGTTTCAATTTACAGGCTCCTGAAGTGACCTGGAGGTCCCACCAACATGAGAATCAGCCCCCGAAGGACACAGAGCAGCCAAGCTGGGAGCTGGGTCAGACTACAAGTTCCTCAGATATTCTGCCTCCAAAACTGGAGACCATGTAGCGCTCGAGGATGTTAGAAACAGCATAAGCTCAAATGATCCTGCACGGCTGGTGCTCCTGGCCTGCATGCGAGGTGCACAGTCCCATGTCGGAGCTGCCCTGTGCCCTTTCCCATCCTCGTGCACACTGCCGGGCCGCTCTCCCTCTCCATCAGCCCAAGGGAGACACCAGGGCAGCCAGGTCCCCCCATCCCTGCTCCCCCAGTCGGCCCCACTCACCTCCTTCACCTGCTGCTTGTCCAGGTGGAAGATCTGCCCGGAGCTGATGGCCGCGACGCGCTCGTAGACGCGGTAGCCGGGGTGGCTCCGGTCCCCGCAGTCCCCGGTCAGCACGAACACCACCTGCCAGAGCAGCAGCTCCCGCCGTGTCACACGCTGTCGGGGAGACCCATCCGGCCCAGGGAGCACCCACGGTCCCTGGGATCAGGGTGGCCCTTGCAGCAGCAGCCACAAGGTGCTTCTCCATGGGATGTACCTGGGACTGCTTGCGCTGCAGAAGCTGCAGCAGCTCCTCCTGCTGCTCGTAGTCCTTGGCCCGGGCGTCCGAGAAGACGTAGATGAAGGAGCCGGGGTGCGAGAGCTCCACGGCCAGCTTGATGGCCCCGACGCTCATCTCCGGGCAGTCCCCTCCACCCTGCAGCGCACAGTGCTTGATGGAGACACGAGCCAGGCAGGGCACAACACCAACGGCGTCCCCAGGACCTTCTGCCCTTCTCTTCCCATGCCCACTCCTGCATCCCAGAGGGACCCGCTCCCACATCCGTGCGCATGGAGAGTCCAGCTGCAGAGCTTTGCTGGACTCTGAGCATGGCCAGGGCACTGTGAGAAGCCACCGGGACACTCAGGACAACAGCAGAGACCTCCCACCCTCGTAGCCGAGCATTAAACGGAGCATAAGGACTGGCGGCACCGCGAGTTCCCGCGAGCGGCTTCAGCGGGCACATTTTGTGGCCTCAGCCCATCAGAGTCAGGGTGACCTGGCAGAAACCCGGGTGTCCTGCGAGCGGGGAATGACAGCGAGGAGCAGCTCCCGTCTCCAGCGGGATTCACACTCCGAGGGGCTGTGAAATGACGTCCAGCCGAGGCATTGCACCTCCCGCCCTCGGAGCCGGCACGCCAGCGCGACCTGCTACCATGCGGCCGCATGGGAGGGGAGAAAGGGCAGGGGATTTAACAGCGCCTGGAGCCAGGGCAGGCACGGAGACAAATGTGACGTGGAGGGATCCTCCAAGAGCGGGCAGCGTGCAGTGACACGCTCAAAACCTGGTTTTAAACAGGGATTCAAGGGACTGGCTCCTCCCCGGCTTCCCTGGATGCAGGAATCGCCAGGGCTGGGATTTCGCCCACGGCAAAGGGCCACACGCCCCGCAAGTGGCCAGGACGTACCTGGACGTAGAGCTCCTGCAGGCGCCGCTGGAAGTGCCGCGGATCCGCCGTGAGGGTGGCCGGGCCCACGTCTGCAAGCAGAGGGATCCGCCGTGTCAGCCCGGCCACCTCCGCGCAGGACAGTGACTGGGGCTTGGGCACAGCTCCCGAGGCTCCAACAAGGCTCAAAGTTGAGCCTGGGCTTTTAGGGATGTGCAGGGGTTTATGGACATGCACATAACCCCAAAGGATAGCCTGGGATGGCGAAGAAGGCTCCTGGGGCTGCTGCAGGTCCCCAGGGCTCTGCAGCACATGGGGCTCTCAGTGGGGCACATTGTGGACGGAGGGGCTCGGGCGCAGCGCGGTGGGACTCACCTGGATCGTGGAAAGGCACCAGCGCGTAGTTGCGGATGGGCTGCGGGCCGCCGAGCGTCTGCTGCAGGATGCGCGAGGCGCCGTCCATCACCTGCACCAGGTCGTCGTACATGGAGCCCGTGACGTCGAACACGAAGGCCAGCGTGAGCCCCGCTGTGCCATCCACGGGGGCCGCGAGAGCGGGCACCAGGAGCAGCCAGAGCCCGGGCAGGGTCCCGGCACGGAGCAGCGCCCCGGGGGACCCCATGGGGCCGGGGACGCGTGCGGGGAGCGATGCCGGAGCGAGGATCCCGAGCGTGGGCACCGGGAGCACAAGGGCTGGCGGGGAGGTGGGCGGGAGGCGCGGGATGGGCGGCGGGGAGGGGGGGCCGAGAGCCCCGGTCATTGCCTGGCGCGCGGCCCGGGCCGGCCCCGTTCCCGTTGTTCCCGTGCGGGAGGCGCGGGGCTCGCAGCTGAGCGGGGAGCGGCGCCAGCAGCGCCGCAGCTGCGAGCGGAGCAGCCCCCGCGCCGCGCACGGGGACCCCGCGGGGACACGGCCCTCGCGGGGACACGGCCCGGCCTCTCGGCAGCGAGGCCAGGGGTGCCAGGGCTCAGCGAGGCGCCCCAGGACGTGGTGACACGATGGCAAATTTGGGGACAGCGCAAAGAATGCGGAGCAGGAAAGGCTGTGCGCTGGCCAGGTGCCCGCGGCTGCGCCGGCTCTGAGCTGAGCCCAGGTCTGAGCTTTCCTGGCTCCCCTTAAATGCCAGAGCTGAGCACATCCACCCGCTCCGCCTGGTGCTTCCTCATCCGCAGGGATGATGGAGCAGAGTCACCACAGGCTCACGGCACCCTTGCTGCGTGCTCGGCTGCAGCTGCTGCCCTGGCTCCATCCCAGCACCAGGAAACCTCAGCTGCCCCTGCCCCTGCCCCTGCCCCTGCCCCTGCCCCTGCCCCTGCCCAAACCAGCACCCAGGAGCCCCAGAGCACTGGGGCCAGTTGGGTTTTTAACCCCTCACTGCCCAGGGGCTGCAGCCACATCCTTGGGGAACCTCCTGCAAACCCCATGTTTTGCAGCCCCATCTGCATCCCTGCAAGCCCAGCGTGGGGACAGACGGACGGACAGACAGACGGACAGACAGACAGACAGACAGACAGACAGACAGACGTGCTGAGCCCCGCCGCCACAGCACCTCTGCCTGAACCTTCCCCTGCAAACACAGCCACATTGTTCAACCCACTGGTGCCTCTCCTCCGGGCTCCTGATATTAATTAGTGGCCCTCGTTACCCTCGTTAGCAGTGTGAGCAGAGGCAGCTGTGCTGGTGGCGCAGGGAGCCCCCGGCCCCTCGCTCACCCCGGCTACATCCCCCAGCCCGGGGAGGGGAGGGGGCTGCCAGGGGCCTCAATTATGGGCTGGGAAACACAGTGTTGGGAGGGGAAAATGGGCAGCGTCCCCGGGGGCCCTTGTGCACCAAGAGCATGTGCCCAGGCCTGGGAAAGATAGGAAAAAACCCTGCATATTGGTAAAGAGGGGCAGCAGGAGCAGTGTTATGGTGCAGTGGAGCTCCCAGTGGCAGCTGAGAACTGACCGCTCATCACAAAGCGCGGTGCCAGGGGGACCCCTCAGCTGCAGTGGGGGCTGCTGGCGCCATCTCCGGCCCCGCGCTCGGGAACACGGAGAGCAGGAGCCGGGGCTGCCTCCTAACGGGGACCAGGGCAGGAGGCGGACGGAGGCTGGGGGCGCCGCGCAGCCCCGCCGCCCCGTGTCGCGTGGGGCAGCCACAGGGCAGCGGGTCTCGCGGGCCGTTTGTGTCCGATGTACCGATTGGATTCCGGAAGAGGATGGAAATGGATCCGGCCCCGTAACCGCAGGCGCTGCGAGCCCTGCGCTGCTCCCGGTGCCCTGCAGGCCGCCCTCGCCACGGGCAAACGGAGCGGTCGCGGTGCGCGTGTCCCAGCGGGATTCCCCATCCTCACTCCCCCGCGCTCCACAGGGACGGAGGGATCCGCAAGGCCGGGGGGTTGCAAGGAGCTGGGGACTCCGTTGCCCACATGGATGGAGGTGCTGGGCATGCGAAGAGCTGGGGCAAGGAGGGGGACGGGGCACCACTACCAGTGCCACCCACCACCCACATGAGCACCCTCCACCCCAGAACCCACCAAACCCACCCTTCAATAACCCACCAAGAGCTTCTCAATACAGGAAAAAAAAAATTAAAAAAGAGAAAAAAAACCATTATTTGCTTTTTTTTTCATTTTAATGTGCAAATATTTTTGAAGGTGTGAGGGACAACCAAGACGTCGGGTCAAGGAACTGCTACATCCCTAAGCCTTGCGGCCCGGGAGCAGAGCAGGGCGGCCGGGCCCGTCGGGACCAGCTCTGCGGCGAAGCGGCCGGTCTCTTTCCGAGCTGGAATATTTACAGGGAAGCGCCGCGGGTCCTGGGAGGCGCCAAGCTAGCGCAGACTGAAAAGCCTTGCAGAGGGAAGCGGCGGAGCCGAGGAGCCCGGCGCTTGCCCGGGGACGGCTCGGAGGCCGCAGCTCCTTGTTTCTCAGCAGAGCCGGTTCCAGCATCGTCACATTCATTGGAAACGTCGATTGGCACCAGGAGGGGACCGGGCTGGCGGGCGAGGCGGAGACGTTTGAGGCACTGCAAAGATCTGCCCATACCACGCAGCGTGGAGGAAAAGGCGTTTCCAGCAGCGGGAGCGGGGAGGCGCCTTCCAGGAGCAGGGGCTGCGGCCGAGGCGGAATCGCTCCCGGCGGCGCCGTGTTCGAGGCCTTCGGATGAAGCCCTGCAGCCCGCGAGGCCGTTTCGGGGCCGAGCGCTGCTCCTTTTGTGCACCTGCAGCGCATCCCGCTCAGCTCCTGAGAGGGGAAGCCTCGTATGGATCACGGACGTGGATCCCCAGGCCCCGGGGGGGACATCCCCACGGATGCTGGCACCGCTCCGGGTGCCCAGCGCGCCCTTCCCTTGGGGACACCCGCAGGGCCGGCACCAGCTGCCTCCAATATTGCACGAGGACGGCGGTCGGTCCCCTCTGCGACGGGGAGAGGAGAATTCGTGCGGGCATCGGCAAACACGGATCCAAGCGCCGGGGATGGGAGAGCAGTCAGCGAACAGCAGAAGGATCCCAGTTCTCCGTGGGACTGGGAGAACATCCGTATCCCAGTGTCTCGTCCGAGTCCTGGGGAGGTTCCATCCCTGCGGCCTCCACCGGCTTCCAGGGACCCGGGAGCCACCAGCCTCCCTGGGGCAGAGGGATCAGACCCCCGGGCACTGTCCCTGCTCCGGCATTTTGGGGATGCCGTCAGGAGCATCCTCAACATCCGTCCGCCGCCTTGGGCCCTGGCGGCATTGGAGGCGGCAAGGGTGCTTTGAGACGGGGAGTCGCCGGGATCGCGGCCTCGGCACCGCGTGGCCAGGACGGAGCCGCGAGCGGCTCCCTGCTTGTCCGCCCCTGCAGATGCCACCAAACACACGGGCTTAACGGTGGCACCAAAGGGGTGACAGGCAGAGCGAAGGAGGCCGGGCACCTCCGTGGGATTCGCTGCCCCGTCCCTGCTGTGGGACAGGAACAAACTTGCAAAGAGAAACGTGAGTCAATCGACAGCAAAACCCAACGCTCGGCTCCGTTAATGCTTCCCATGCAGTAAGAAAAGGGGAGCGAGATGCAAATCTGCAAGTCCTGCACGCGGGGCCTGCACGAGCCGCTCACCGCAAGGCGGGCACGGAGCCGCTCGGAGCCGGGCGATGCTCAGCCGAGCCGGGCACAAACGCAGCAATGGGAAGAGGATGCAAAGCTGCAAAGCCGCCTTGCAACGTCAGCCAGGCCGGGACGGAGGGCGGGAAGCGACGGGGAGGCAGGTTTTTGGCTTTGGAGTTATTGCAGGCTCCCGGCGCCCCGCTCGTCACCCTGGCACGTCATCTCCGAGGGGCTGGGGCGCGCGCGAGGGACTACACACGGCAGCAACATTTACAACCAATAAATAAAGATGTCAATCGTAAAGATAGGCATATATATATATATATATATATATTAAAAAAAAATAGCCTCACTTGTTTTCCACCAGAGGGGAAAAAGAAAAAAAAAAAAAAAAAAGCACAATACTGTCTCACAAAAAAAGAAATAATAATAATAATATAATATATATCCCTAGTGCCCTGGGCTGGGTTGCCAAGGGCATCAATCGCAGGTGACGCGAGGACTTTGTTCCCAATGGCCGCTGGGGCCCAGGCGCCCCGGTACCTTCGGGCTCCATCTTCCCAGGAGAGGGACACGGAGGAGCCGCCGCATCCGCAGGAAAGGGAGGAAAGGGGAGCAGGGTTGAGGCGGGGAGCCGGGGGTCCCCTTTCCCCGGCGCTGGCGTCCCGGGCGCTGGCGGCCGATCACATCCTTCTCTTCCTGGTTTCTCGGGAGAAGCGGAGGCGGGCGCGGGGCGGCGGCGGGCGCGGGGCAGCGCGCGGGGCTGCCCTGGCTGGCGCAGCGTGGAGGAGGCCGGAGCGAGGCGGGCAAGCGGCGGACGGAGGCGCTCGGGCGGCGCGGGGAGCCCCTGCCCCGCGGAGCTGCGAGAGGGGACAGGCAGCACGAGTCACCCCGGGAGCCAAGCGCCGGGTGCCCCGGTCTGTGGGTGCCCACGGGAGGGCACAGCCCCCAAACCCGCCGCTGGTTTTCCGGGCGCCGCGGTGCTGCCGTGGCCCCAGCGCGCTCCGAGTGCGCCCCACTCACCGCCGCTCGCGCCGGGACTATACGAGGCCGTCGTAGAGGGAGAGCGCCTGCACGATGGAGGGGTCGGCCTTGGAGCCCTCCTGGAACTCCTGCAGCGTCAGCTTCCCATCGGCGTTCTGCAAAAAGAGCCGCCCGGCGCTCGTCCCACGCGCGCCCGGGACCCCCGCGCCCCCCGCAGCCTCCCCGTCCCCGTCCCACCTTGTCCATCATGGCAAAAATCCGGTCCACCCTCTTCTCCGGCGTGTTCTCCTCCTCGGGGAGCTCCACCGTGTTGCCCTGCGGACAGCACCGCGTTTCCACCCGTGGAACCCGCGCCGCGGGGAAACGGGGAGCAGACCCCACCAGGGCGCGTGGGACCCCCCGCCGGCCCTTACCACCATCTGATAAATCGCGTCGACAATGTCCAGCATCTCGTTCCTCGTGATGTAGCCGTCGTTGTCCAGGTCGTAGAGCTTAAAGGCCCCTGGGAGCGAGAGCAAAGCGTCGCGTGCGGCACCGTGCGCGGCGCCCGCACCCCGCGCCGGGCACTTACACCTCAGCTTCTCATCCAACGTCCCCCGGGAGGTGACCGACAGCGCCTGGATGAACTCGGAAAACTCGATCCTGCCGTCCTGGGGGAGCAGAGGTGGCGGTGAGAGCGCCGGAGCCCTTCCCCGCACGCCGAGCGCGGCGCTCGCCCGCACGCCACCTGCCAACCTTGTTCTCGTCGAAGACGTTGAAAACGAAGGTGGCGAATTTGGTGGGGTCGCCGAAGGGGAAGAACTGCTTGTAGATCTTCTGGAAGCCGGCGGCGTCCAGCTGCCCGCTGGGGCAGTCCTTGATGAAGCCCTTGTACCTGTGGGGCGGGTGGGTAGCAGGGAGATGGGCGCCCCGGGTCCTCTCATCCGCCACCTCCCTGCGCCCAAAGCCGTCGCGCCCGATGCCACCGCACGAGGACACGGTGCCCTGGGAGCGCCCGAATTGCCTGGAGGCAGAGGGCAGCAGTGGGGATGGAAGAGGAGGTTTCAGCACGGGTTGCAGTGGGGAGGTGCTCGCTCGGGCAGCATTTGGGCCCAGCTCGCTTAGGCCCGGCTCATGTGGGCCCGGCTCACTTGGCGCGCACTGCAGTGTGGCCAGGCTGAGCGCAGCAGTGGCCGCCGCTCGGAAACCAGCCCATCAGCTTCCTCAGGCTGACGCGCTACGGGGAGGGCAGGAAAGCTTGGCTGGTTTGATGGGGGGACGGGGAGCGAAGCGGGGGCTCTTTCTAGGGCACCACGTTCCACGGGGACAGCGGGGACCTGCGACCCCCTGCGCGGCCGCACACTCACCACTGCTGCACCTCCTTCTCCGTGACTGCCCAGCAGCAAAGAGAGAAAAGAAAAGAGAGAGAAAAAGGGGATTTTAGAGCAGTTCCAGCGGGCGCTGTCATCTTGCACTTAGCGCAGGCGGCTCCTGCAGCCTAAAGGACGTGGCCTCGGGCAGGAGATGCCCGGGGCTCTTGTGCTCCATGTGGTGCTGCCAAAACGCATCAGGTTTGAAGCAAACTGGAGCTTTACTTGCCCTCCAGCTGCAGCGCCCGGGAGGCCTTGGCTGGCACAGGCAGCTCTGTGCCCGGGAGGATGCGGCCGCTCTGCACCGAAACCGCGGCAAGGGGAGGACGTGGAGGCGGCCGGGAGCTTCCCCCGGCATTGCCCGCACAGCGGGGCTGGCGCCTCGGGCATCCTCCGGTGCCCTCACTTGTCACCGCCCCTGTTGGTCGCATCAGTCTGCGGCTTTGGAGCGGCTCCCTCCGGGTGTGCGTGAACCCAGAGTGCCCACAGGCGTGAAAATGATCATAAGGTCCTTAAGGTTGGAAGGGACCTTTGGAGATCCTCTAGTCCAAGCCCCTGCACACGCAGGCTCACCCAGAGCCTGTGGCACAGGCTGCGCCCAGGCGGGTTGGGAAGATCTGCAGAGAAGGAGGCTCCAGAGCCTCTCCTGGCAGCCTGTGCCAGGGCTCGGGCACCCTCCCTGCCAAGAAATGTTTCCTCAAGTTCCTGGGGAACTTTTGGTGCTTCAGGTTGTGGCCGATTCCTCTAGTTCTGTCAGTGGCCACCGCTGCAAAGAGGCCGCCCCGTCCTCCTCGCTGCCTCCCTTGGGGTATCTACAGACCCTGCTCAGGTCACCCCGCAGCCTCCTTCTCTCCAGGCTGGACAGGCCCGGCTCTCCCAGCCTCTCCTCACAGGTCAAAAAACTTAAAAGAAAGAAAACGCTATTTTGAAAGCCTCTTTGTCAGGCTTCGCAGTGCTGCTGCCCGCGGATGTGCACGGGGCAGCCCCGGCTGCAGCCAGGGACACGGGCACAGGGCTGGCGCCAAGTCCTCTCCTTTGGACACCTAAACCGCAACGGAAACGCAGCAGCTCTGAAGCAGGCATGTGAGGACGAGCAGCACGTTTGGAGCAGCCGGGGGCACGGATCCCTCCTGGGATGCCCGGAGCAGGGAAGTTCCCGGCCGCGTGGCGCCGGGCCCTGGTGCTGGGCTCAGCTGGAACGGCGCCGGCCCCGCGGGACGCGCCGCGGGCACTGCTATAAATAGCGCACGGAGCCGCTCCTCAGCGGATGCGGGGGGTGCCCTGGGATCCTTTGGGATGAAAGGCACTAAATAAACGCACGGCATTAGTATTCCTGATTAACTGTAGTACCGGAACGGGCCCTGCCGAGCACCACGCACCCAGGACGCCGGCCCGGATGAACCCACCACCCATCGGCATCGTCGCCTCCAGGTTCTCCCCAGAGATCGGCACCGCGGGCAGGAGCCCCACATGCGGCCCCCGCTCTCCCATCTCCCTGCCAGCACTGCCAGCGCCGTCACCACCCGCCCCCCGCTCGCTTCCCACCCGCCAGCTGCCACCGTGTTAATCACCGCTCCAGCCCTGCGGGGTTTTTCCCGCACGGACCCTCCACCCGGTGCCCGTGCTGCAGGGAGCGTCGCTGCGAGGTTCCCAGCGCCCCCAGCTCGTTGCGCAGCACCAGGGCACCCGCGCGCCGGCGGGGCCGTGGCCGCGCTCCGGGGGATGCTGAGCCGGCGGCGTGCAGCCGCAGCGCGGCGCCTCCCGAGCGCCGCAAAGGCCGCGCTGCAGCCTCAGCTCCGCGCCGCAACCGGGCACCGGCCACGGCGTCCCCATCCACATCCAGCCCTTTGGGAGCTAGGTTTGCACCCAGGGAAATGAGGCACCCGTGGGTGAGGGGACTGGGTGCACAGAGCCGGTTCCAGCTCATCCGTGAGCTTCCTGGGGCTCCCGTCTGAGCTCCGGCTCCCAGGAGTGCAACGACACCCGTGCATGTGCCAGCAGGGAGCGCGGGCATGAACCGATCGGGTGCTTGTGTGCCGCTTAATTGGGCGCTGCAGCACAGGCTAATTGAGCGCTCATGCACCCATTAATCGGGCGCTCATGCAGGAGCTAGGCGGGGGCTCACACGCTAAGCCGGCGCTCACGCGTGAACCCACCGCGCGCTCGCACGCAGGCCCAGCAGATGCTCCCGCCCCAGCCCTGCAATTCCTGCCCCACACACCCCCCGACACCTCTGCACAGCACAAAACACCGCAGCGTCTGCCTGTAAATCCCCTGTGAACGCTGCGTTCGGCATCGTTCGGATAACGTTCACCGAGCGCAGCCCGCCCGCAGGAGCGCCGCGGGGAGCACGGCGCGCAGTGTGGCACGCACCGCTCGTGTCCCCCTGCACCCCTGGGTGCCGGGTGGCCAAGGGGAGCAGCAGAGCCCCGGCACGAGCCCCTGGCCGCGTGGGCTGCATTGCAGGGATCAGCACTGCAGCAGCTCCGCTCGGCACGGACTCCACACCTCGCTCCTGCACCCACCGGATCGGCTGCGTGGGCTCTGCCCCACGGCAGACCGGACGAGCAGCAACCACCACAACCCACGCGGGTATAATCCGCATCCCCAAAAAACACACAGCCAGGGATGTGCCAGGAACGCTGCCGCTGAAGCAATTCACATTTTAGCATCCAAGCGAGCAACGAGAACGGCAAGAGCAAGGGTTAAAGTCAATGCTGGAGGTGCCAAACGGTCCCTGACCAACTGGGTCCATCACTAGGCCCACAGCAGTGACGGGGCTTGGCTTGTCCCAGAACCAGAGGCGAGCAGAACCTTGGGGGCCCACCGAGCACCTCTGCATCCCGGTGGCTGTATCCGATGGCGGCTTTAAGGGGAGCCGGGCGCCAGCACGCGGAGACTCGGGCTGCTCAGCCATGACGGCTGCTCGCGTTGGGATGCAGCTTGAAACGTGCGGCTGGCGCCCTGCTCAGCACAAGCGAGCGCGACGCCCTCCCGGCACGGATCCGCGGCGCTTCCCACCTCTCCCGGCCACCTGTGCGAGATGGGACAGCAGGATGCATCCCTGCTCCCGGCACGGCCACGAGCGGACCCGTTTGGCCACAGCGCTTTGCTTCTCAGTGCCCCGCAGCGTGCAGGGCCCTCCGGCATCCCCAGGCTCCAAAGGCTCCGGGATGCCCATGGAAGAGTGGAGCTGGTGCCATCGTGTCCCTGCAGCGAGCTCGGCTGCGCTCCTGCTCCCGGTGCATCCGACGTGCCGAGCTGGCGGAGCAGGAGCTGCTCCCGGCTCCCCCGGGGCCGGCTCCGACAGGAAAACCAATACACCGTTAAAATCCTTTTTAGACTTTATTAAATATTGAAGGGCCCAACATTAGGTTTCAGAAATTGGGTTCGGGGAAAGCGCAGCGGCGGCTGCTGTGCAGCAGAGCCGGCACAGGAAGGACAGAGGGACCTCGCATGGAAATTAATGAGCGGATGGCACAGACAGGGCCTGCAGCGGGAGCAGGAGGCTGCAGCCTGCTCGTCCTGGCGGTTTCATTCCAGCTTTCCCAGGGGACAGCAGGGATGATGCCCCACGGCAGGACCACAGCTCCTCCAGACTGCTGGAGGGAAACCAGGGACGCCCGGCAGCCCCTTCCCGAGCCGCCTGCTCTGCTCTTCTTCCCTGCCAGAGGAACGCTCAGGGAAGAACCACGGAGCTGCCTAAATACCCTCCTTCCCTTAGAGACCAAAAATGTGCCTTAAAGGGGGAATAACCTGCAGGAGAGGCAGGAAACAGCCCTGAGCTCTCCTGAGCTTGAGGAACCGCATCCACAGCACGTCCTGCATCCCCAGGACAAAACGCTCACAGCAACTGCCACCAAGCGAAGCAGAGATGGTCCCGTGTGCTGGGGCTGCATCCCTGCCTGCCGGAGCTGTATTCCCACCTGCCGGGGCTGCATTCCCACCTTCCAGACCCACATTCCCACCTGCCGGAGCTGCATTCCCGCAAGGACGGGCAGAGCGGTGCCCTGCGCAGCGCGGGGGCAGCAGGAACAGGGCGAGAGGCGAATGTCACCCCGATAAGGCGCCGAGCGGCCCCTGCTCGGAGCAGCCGCTTCCTTTGATGACTTCAGAGTTTCTTGTTTCACAGCCTTAATTATAGCGGCCGCAGCAAAGGTCAGCAGAGCAGTTAAGCAGATCCATTAACATGTCAGGGGATAAATGAAATGAGATTCTCCCCATGCCTCGGCAGCCCCTGGAGATGCCGCGAGGGCGCGGGGGAAACGGCTCTCCCCTCTGCTGCAGATGGGGCTGGAGATGCTGCCGGGCGCTTCTCCCCTCTCCACTGTATCCCATGGTGCAGGAGCTGCAGGCCTGGATCAGCAGGATCGGGCATCAAAACAGGCTCTCAACACACTCGTGGTGAGGTCCCTCCCGGCAAAGCTTTGCAGGTGACACTGGCTGCAGGAAACCCCAGGTCACCTGCAGCCCCTGGCGCTGTCACCAGCGCGTCCTGCCTCTCGGGGGGCACAGGACAGCGGGCGCTGTGTCCCCAGCTCCCAAACCACCCCGGGCATCACGGCCCCTCCGCGCTTTGCTGTCCCTGCAGGGATGGTGGCCGCCAGCTGCGGGCAATGGTTGTCCACGCGCTGGGCCTCCCGGTTACCTCCTTGCCCCATTCCTGCCGGCTGAGCAACAGGAGGGATTGCAAAACGAGCCGCCCTGGCAGCAAAACCCGGTGCCCGGGGCCAGACGCTTTGCTGGCTAAAAATAAGCCCGCAGCGGGGAGCCTTTGGCAGCCCCCGTGCATGGGTGTCCCGTGCTGCTCCTCCATCCCGCCAACCCCTTGGGCATCCTCCTGGCGATGCCGGAGAGATGGGAAGGCCGATCCCATCCAGCTCCACGCGCTCCACATGCTTGGAGAGAGCAAAGAGAGCATCAGGCACCGTCCGTGTCCCCTGGCCACCTCCTGACACAGGGACCGCACCAAGGACCACGGCCCCGAGTCCGTGTCTTCCAAGCCAAAGGAAGCCCCTTGCTCCAAACTACTGCGATTGAAGAGCTTGCTTCCCTTTCCCGCAGAATTCCCGCAGAATTCCACCAGACGCCACAGACC